GGGGCGCCGCCGTACTCCCGGAAACAAATGGCACGGGCCTCCGACACCGCGTCCGAAGCAATCTGAATGGGTGTGTGGGTGGGGGAGGGGGCCAGAAAGGAGGGAATTGGGGAGAAGATGGTTGATTAGCAGTGGGGGAATGGTGGTGGTGGGGTGGTGGGGCTTGGGGGGGGGTTAGCACCCGAGTTCGGTGGCTTGGGTTGTAGCCCCCGGGGTTGGGAGTCGGCGTGTGTGTGGGGGAAAGACGAACCACGAACGAGTGAAGCTGCTGCCAAGTAAAGATTGTACAAGAAGCAGAAAGGTGAGGGGGAGCGGAGGCTAACCAACCGCCACCACCGAGCTTTACGCACCCACGGCCCCCCTCCCTTGCCCCCGCCCTTTCCCCCGCCCTCCCTCCCTCCCTCCCCTCCCTCCCCCGTACCCACCAAGTACGGGCTACACCGCGTGTGCACCAGACCGATGTGGTCGGGGCGGGGGGGGTCGAGCATGGAGATGTGGTGGCCCGCGAGGAAGCGAATGGCGATGCGGGAGAGGAAGAAGGTGTCCAGGAAGTGCTGGATCTCACTCTCCCGCTCCTCAGTCGACTCATCCGTACGCTGCGTGTGTGTGCGTGCGTGTGTGTATGTGCGTGTTTGGGTGTGTGATAATAAGAGGTGGGTGGCAAAGGGTTTTGGGGCAGTGGGGGGAAGAATGTGGGGGAAGGGTTTTAGCGGGGGGGAAAAGGAGGGCGGGGGCCAGCTGGGTTACTTGCCCATCACACGCGGCGTCATCACCTCTCCCCCCCCCGACATACATGCATACATACTTGTACACGTCTACACCCCGCGACGAGCAGCCATTGCAGCCAACTAACCAACCAACCAACCAACCAACTAACCTCATCCTCCTCCCCCTTTTCCCCACCCGCAGGTGCTTCCCCCCCCAACCCCCACACCCACACCCACACCCACCTCCCACCTCCCACCTCCACACCCACCTGCAGGTCCCTCTTGTACTCCTCCACCCCCTTGGCAATGGCGGGCACCACGTTATTGTGGCGGCGAAACGCCTTCTTCAGCATGGCCGTGAAGCGGAGGACGTCCAGGTGGTCTTTGATGGCGGGGAAGGAGCGGAAGTCGGCAAACGACTCAGCGTACCAGCCCTGTGTGTGTGAGCGTGTGAGCGTGTGTGTGTTTGGGTCATACAGATCGACAGGTGGAAGGACAGAGCGGGGTGCTCCTGCCTCTGGGAGCCATCAGCCACCAGGCGGTCAGACACACACACACACACACACACACACACGCCCCCATCCCAAACCCCCCAACACATACATACACACACACAACCACATGCCGCAAAACCAAACCCACATAAAGTGCCCCCCTCCTCAGTCCCCCCCCCCACCCCCCCCGAGCCACCTTCACTCGCCGCACGTGGGGCTCTTCACTGAGTTTGGGCGGCAGGTGGTTCAGGTCCATCAGCCGGTGCGCCAGACGGATGGGGATTTCGGCGTGCAGGAAGCGGGCGGACAGCAACATCTGGCGCTCCAGAGGCTGCGTGCCGAAGTCCAAAAGGTACTTAAGACTCACACCTGCGGTTGGTTGGTTGGCGATTGAGGGCGCGGTATCACGCGGAATAAGGTGCCAGGGGCACGCGGGGGGGAAACAGCAAACGCTGCATTTGGAGAAGCTAAGAACCGGCCAGCGGGGACCCCCAGCGGGGATATCTCAAGTCGGCGTACGAGTAAGAATCCAAAGCCCAATATGACGTCATCAGTCGTCACCAGGGTGTTGATGTCCCCAGCGTTGTGTGTGTGTGTGTGTGTGTGTGCAATGTTTGTTGCTGCCGAGGCCGCGTGCCAGTGCACCTATGTATGTATGTATGTATGTATGTATGTATGTATGTATGTATGTATGTATTTATGTATGTGAGGGGTGACTCCTTAAAAAGGGGCGAGAAACACACCAGTGAGTGTGTCAACTAATCACCTTTGGTCCCGGGAATAGGAACGCTACTTTGGCCACTAGCTTTATTAGCTGAACATATTCGGAGGCAAATGTAGTGTACTACGTCTCCCGAGTAGATACAAGGCTGGTATTGTGACATGTTGTACATTCCTAATAACGCATATTAAATAGATACGCACATATCTATATCTATATCTATATCTATATCTATATCTATATCTATATCTATATCTATATATATACATATACATATATAATGTGTGGGACAGGTGGTTCATATCTTCGCCCGTGGCAGCTACCCTGCGAAACCCTGCCTTCCCCGGTATTTCGGGGCACCCTCATCCAGTCACCCTAGTCAGCTTCTCAGTGGATCGCTCAGGTTCCGCACCCACCACCGGCATCCAATGGAATCTGCCAGCGGCCCAACACCGTTCCTGGTCAGCTGGCAGGTCAACTTTATCCCAGGTCACCACCGTCCATCGACTAGGGGCACTCTTACCCTCCACCATCGGAAGTATTTTCGACCCTGACAGGTCTCGATGCTGTATATATATACACACACATACACACATATACCTATATATATGTATGTATGTATTTCGGGCCCGGGATCCCGAAACCTTCGATCCAACCAGAGCCGGCCTGTGAAGAACATCAAAACATCAAAACATACATACATACATACATACATACATACATACATACATACATACATACATACATACATACATACATACATACATACATACATACATCAAAACATGCATACATCAGAACATACATACATACATACACACAAACATTTACACATACACATATGGCCCACCCACAGACCGTGAAAAGGAGGGCACAGGACCGCACCTCCCCTTCCCCCCTCCCCCGGACGACTCCAGCAAGCCCCTCCCCCCCCTGTTGCCCAACCTGTCTGCTTCTTGAGCGCCGAAGCCTGGATGTCCGCGCGCAAAGATGTCGACATGGTGTAGTACGACCTCCTACTGCTGCTGCTGCTGCTACTGCCAGCAGGTGGGGCCACTGGGCAGGGGGAGGACCCCGCGCGGCGACCCGAGTGAGAACCTGCTGCTACTGCTGCTGCTACTGCTGCGGGTGCTACCAGGGGCGCAAAGAGCTGCGCGCCACGAGCTGCTGGAAGCGGCCGTGTGGTGGATGTGGATGTGGTGGATGTGGTGGATGCCGGGGCTCTGCTGCCTGCCTGGTATTCGGCCCCCATGCTGCCGGCGGCTGTACGACAGGACACGTAGGCACGTGGGGCTGCAGCTGCAGCTGCAGCCGCAGTTGCACCTTGCGCAATGACAGGATGGCACGACGACGTGGAGAGCGAGGAGATGTTGTGGCAGGAGGACCCCATACTCTTGGTGTTACATCTGCTGATGGCGAAGGCGAGCCACAACGCCGGACCGCCGCCGTTGTGCCGTACAACGACGCCCTGGCTGAAAGAGGCTACAGCTGCAGGAGCTGCGGCACACGCTGGACCCGCCAAGGCGGGTGCAGGCTGTGCCCGCACCGGCACCTCCGAGGGATTGCGGTGCTGATGATGTTGGAGATGGCGGTCGCGGTGAGGCTGTTGGGGCTGTTGGAGCTCTGGCCGCGAGCTCTGCGGTGATGGAGTTGAAGTACCCCACGCCGCATCAAAACGGGAGCTCGTAGGCATTTGATGCTGACTGCCATTGTGATGATCCAGGAATATCCGTGCTTCACGTTGTGGCCTGGAGCAATGCGCAAGTGTGTAGGTTTGCACCCAACCTACAGCGCATGTCGGCCGTGTACTAAACGCGCGAGCCGCTGTTAGAGCGATGCCAGCAACATCCCCAAGGTTTGATGCGCTAATTAATCCACCCGCGGCCATAGCAAGCGCTACCATCTGCGGCTGTCGTGGCGTGAGGAACGTGTATGTCGTGAAGACCGCGTGCGGTTGATGACTACCCACCCAACCCCGAGTAAAACACAGAGTAATCGGAAATACTTTCGTTAAAGCTGATCAAGAGAACAAGCGAGTAGCGTAACAGGTGCGCTGCTTTGTTGGGCCGGTGTAAAATCACGATGCCGTTGTTGCACATAAGCCATAATGCACACTTTTGCCGCTGAATCTAATGCACGTCAGACGAATTCCATCTTGGGAGACAAGAAGCTCTCTGACAGGCAATAAGCCTTTGGTCGTACAAACCAACGGTTGTCATGCCTCTTTATGAGTCTCCTAGGATTTTGTACACGATATGCAACCTGTAACCCTCTATGACTGTTCTATGACGTCCGGGCCAAGTTGCTAACTTGTCGCTCGTCTCGTTAGGATTGACACCATCCTGGTGTGGGCAATACCGAGAGCATCGTAATGGGAAAATCAACTCGTAGTAATGCTAAGAAGAAGTTGCGCACAGAGCGCAGAGGGCAAGTAGAAAAGCAGACTCCATGGAAGGCGACGGCGGAGGAAAAGCGACAAGCGGCGCTAGCGGCTTGCCTCGTATCAGCGCCTGTGGAGCATCATGTGGCGCCAACGGTGGCGAAGGATGACGCTATGGATACCGCGGACAAGCCCGTGACGATTCGGGTGCGGAAGACAGTAAAGTCGTTGAAGGGAGCTGTTACCAAGAAGGGCGGAAAGAAGAAGGTCTCCGTCCTGGCGGGAAAGAATCAATTCTACAAGAAGGGGAAGAAGGGCCGGCGGTAGGGAACGACCTCGCCTGGCATGCTATGGCGGCGTGTTCAACCCGTGCGACTCGCATGATACAGATGGCTGTTTTGGGAAGGAGAGTAATGTCTAGCTCTCCATTGACTTGCGCACCATGTACCCATGTACGGGAGGAGCTGGGGGATCGAGTGACGAGGGGGACATATTCTACTGGCAGGGGTGGGGTTCTGTGTACAACATAAGGCAGACATTCTTCGGGGGCATTGAACCTCTACATTGCTCCTTTGGTTAGCGATGTCCCCGCGGCCGTTGCCCTTATGTATCCTTTGGGGTTTCCCGCGTGCGTGCTCATGCCATATTGCCAATTCGTTTGGTGGTATTAGATTGATAAACAATGTACGGGCATTTGTACGGGCCATGTCTATCCATCAGGACTGTTTTGTGTTGTTGATTTCGTTTGAATAGTCTTTAAGGCTGAGACCCGGGTATTGCTGAGTGCATGGGGCGTGGAGATGAGACTTTAACTGGTAATACCTTTGTTGCCAAGTGACAACTTTTTTTACAAAATTAGTCAAGCACCAGACTCAAGGAGTTACGTTCATTTGTTTGGTTCCGGAGACTATGTAATGCTCGGCATGCAAGCACATGAAATGATAATAATCCGTTGATTGTCACGACGTCCTTGTTAAACTCCGCTTGGAAGCCAGGTCGAAGCGATTGCAAACAGGCAGACGCTGCCCTGTTGCCGCCCCGTGGGCGAACGCAGCGCTGCTGCGTGACAACACACACATACACACACACACTCCCTCTCTTCCCTCGCGCAATGCGCTGTTCATCAAATATACTCGCACGCGCCTCTGCTCACTGCTCCCCTCGAAAAGCCAGCTCCCCTCATCTCGCGCCCTCCCAAATCCACTCCTCGCGCTCCTGCTGCTACTTACACTTGCCTACCCAAACTACGTCACCACCCATTTCCCCAACCCCCGTACTACCCCCTCACGTAACCCGGGGCTACACATCAATGGTGCCTGTATTGCTAGGCGCGTAGACGTCTTTCCCCGCAGGCAGCGCCAGGGGCTCCCGAGCAGCGGGCAGAGCCGGCACCGGTGCAGTGGCGGCAGCTTTCCCATTGCCGTTACCGTTGCCGCTTGGCCCCTTGCCCATCTCCTCCATTGGGAACAGTTGCGCCCGCGCAATGTCGTGCAACCGTCCAAACAACTGCTTCTTCACCGTGTCAAACGCTTTTTCCAGCCGTTCCAGCTCATCCGTGGCATTCTGATTGTACAAAAAGAGGCCGTAATACAGCTCGAACGAGTCGTTGGTGGTGTTGTTCACCAAGTTGAGCAGCGCCTCGAAGCCCTTGGTGTTGATTTCCGTCGAGCGAAGCTGCATGGTTCCCAACACGCGGCCCACCGTGTGCGTGATGAACTGCGTGGAAGCCGCCTGGCGATCGTGCTCCTCGCATGTCATCTCTACCATGGTGCAGCCCTCCTCGCGAAAGAACTGCGGCCGGCGTCGATTTGGGTGATTTCGGTAGAGGGGGGTAGAGGGGGCATCCCGCACGGAGACCCCGGAACGGTGAATTGGAGGATCAAAAGCAGGTAACAGGCGGGAAACCGCCCCGAGGGCCACCGACCCCTCGCCACGAGGATGACGGGGAGGGCATAAGTGAGGGCGACTCAAGACAACCCCATCGCGTGCTACGGCGCCCTGCAGGAACGCCCGCCGGGGCTCAACCGGCTGTAATGGAAAGTGAAGCAGCTCTAGGCTTTGAATCTCGAGCTGCTGCTGCTGCAGCCACAAGAATGAAGGATTTCTAGGTGATGGCGGTAGCCGTAGTTGCACTCCCCGCCTGGTCCCAACCCCCGAGGAGCCCCACCCGCCCATTGCCCACCTTGAGGAAGTTCTCCACTCGGCGCTCCCGCCTGGGGTCGGCCCCAATGCGGACCTTCTCGTACATGAAGTTGAGGCCCGCCCAGCTGCCCTTGCCGCTGTCAGGTCCGAACATGGGGTGCGTGCACAAGATGTCCACCTCTGGGGGCAGCTCCCGTAAAAGCAGCTGCTTCGGGAACACCTGCGCGCACCGCACCGCACACATCCGCCGCAATCCGTCACACATGCAACCAATATCGATCCAGCACCGGAACATGCTCTCAGGAGCAAGTCGCCTTGCTGTAGTTATTATTATTCAGGTCGCCGCCGGAATGCGCCGATGGCTGGGAACCCGTCGCAGTGCTGTGGGGCTGCACGATGCCACATCCCGTTCACATGTTTCGACACGCGGCACGCGACAACCAACTGGCTGCAAGAGGAAGACACTCAACCGGCAAACCGAGTCCAGCTTTCCCAACATCCACCCCCCCACACACACACACACACTCGCTCCCCCCCGAGAGATTGCCGCAGTAATCAAGGCCGCTTTTCCAACCTCAAGGTACCCCAAGGCAAGTACCGCCAACCACCAGCTAACCACCCACGTGGCCCACACCTTAACGGAGAGCACATCTACGAACAGCGTGTTGCGCTTGAGTCGCTGCACTGGCAGATTCCGCAGTACCGACTCGGTTGACAAGATGGAGCTGGCCAGGAGGACTACCTGGCGCCACGATGAATGGGGGACAATGGGGGGGGCCAATGCGGGCTAAGAATCTGAGGAACAAGGGCGGGCGTGAGACGGCAGGCAGAAGCCGCCTGAGGGAAATTGAAGGAAACCTGCAGCCGCCTGAGACATGCCCCTAAATGCGGTAAATGCAATGCGCGACAAAACCGCCGACCTGATGAATAGGGAGCACACCTAGCGGGCCTTAACGGGACCAGATCTCCCCCCTTTCGAGCGCAGGTGCCAGCGCAACAAGGCCGCTCTGTCCGGGGTGCGGAGGCTTCCTCGCGCTTTGCCGCCACGGACATCTGTGTATGTGCAGTTAATAAAGATACCAGAAACACCCACCTCCGGATGCTCCTCGCAAAAATCGTCCACGTCCTGAAAAAACTCCACGCCAATCTTTCGTGCGACCTCCTCGTATGGAGTGCGGGACGTGGCAATTACCTGTAACCATTGAACGTCAAGAATCAGCTATCCTACTACTTCCGGATAGCCAGGCACACGGCTTGGTTCTGGCCAGAGCTCCGGATGATGCCTTGAATTCACGTCCATACAGGCATGCATGAAAGAGAGTTAGCACTCGAGTCGGGACACACGCCCTACTCCCCTGAACGCATCTCGGGGCAGCTGCATTTGAAGCGGAAGAATTGTTTGGTGCATCCAAACATGCCCATGCACAATTAGGCGCGGCATTCTTTCCCTCGAAGAGCCAGGATCAAACCCGACGGTGTGCGGGATATAACTCCCTCAACCGTCAAGAGATTGGATGCATCCCCAAACCCGCTTAGGTCGGTGGACGGTAATGGATCCGGTTCCAATGATCTGTGTCACGTCCAGGAGCCGGGTTGTCGCTGCCCTTTATCCGGCAGATTCCATAGGATCCTGGTGGAGGGTGCTGAACCCCAAAAACTCCATTGAAATCGGAGAACTTGGCATGGAGATGGATGAGGGTGTGGGGGAAGGCGGGGACTACCTAGCTGGCGGCCATGTGTGAAGCTGTATCCCCCGACGTGGTTCCACACGTCCGCACCTTATGCCCCTTGCTTGCAAGGCGCTTTGCGAGGAATTGCCCAAACGTCCCGAAGCCAACGATTCCCACTTTAAGCTTGCTTTCATCGCTCTTCTGTTTACGCATACGGTGCTCGTAATCGAATGGTTGTGCTGCGTCGATGGCTAACACCTTGATGCCTGGCTGGTGGCAGAAAAATGAGTTGGCTGTCACCAGTGCGACTCGGTGCCAAATAATTATTATTCATACCTCGAAGGCTCCGTTGTGGTCGTGTTGCTCGACCAATCGTAGTCACGAACTTTGGTCCGGCCGCCGACACCAACCGTGGCGAGCATGAGGTGACGCATAGTACAGGTTGCACTAGGTTAGCTGATGTGGAGCACGCGTTTGCGTCTCCTTTACCGTAAATTCTCCCTTTGCGTGCCAACATTCGTTAAGAGATGGCCCAAATCACGTATTAAAAGCTACAGAGCCAGGTTAGCAAAATCAATATTGACTGGACTTATGCCATCGCTCTGCGTATCACAAAATTGTGCGCCTGCAATAGCATGAAGGTGACCCGTACACACCGTTCAGTCAGAAGTATATTTTCAGGCAGGTCATGACATTCTGCTGTCTGGAAAGAGATTACGTTTACTTCATCCTCTAATACACATCAGGAGATTTGTATATTTATTTGCTTGAAATGCGAAGTTATCGCATGGACCTTCCCTGACCGTGTAGCTTTGTGAACTTACAAGCTGGTTCGCCAAGGTACTTGTACCATAATCATGGCGTCCCCTACGCCATCTGGAGAAGGGACAACAAAGAAAACAAAAGAGCCGCGCAGTAGGTTCCCTGTGTTGCATCTTCAGGACCGTTGACCTTCTGCGTGACATATGGCTTCATAATAAACAACAGATACACGGATTACGCAGCAGACCTTGCCGGCGTGCAAGCCCGTTCTTGAGCCTGTATGGGTAAGTTATCGGAGCCGTCCTCTGCCCGTTATGGTGCCATTTGCCATTATACCTTGAATCCGCTTGTTTGGGCGCTGTACCCATTTTCTTGGGCGCCTGACGTACGAGCACCAAAGGCAGCACGCCTCCATAAAATGCAGATTGTATTCATCTTTCTGGCGATTGGAGTGGTGCTTGTGCCAATCGGTTCAGTATGCCTTTACTACGGGCTGAAGGTGCGCCAGCGCGTGGGTTGTGGGTTCAGATGTACGAGCGCCTCGTGCACACGGAGGCTCCGAGCAACGGCACAGTTGATGCTCGAGACCCCAGCAGACATTGTCGAATGCGCGTCCATCGTTTCCAAACATGTTGGCTTAGATTCAGTACTACTGTTGGCAGCCTCGCGTTCCTAGGGCAGTTGTTTGTTGATGGAGTGGTCGCCTGCCGTTCGCTGGGTTACTTGCTCACCCGGTAGCATGCCCGACCCGACATGTGCCTTCAAGTTCGTAAAGGTCACGAGTCCTGCGGCCTAGCCTGTCCAACGTCTGTGCGTGCTTATATAGTCCGGGCTGTTTCACTATTTCGCAGCCGGTGGAGGTGGGGACGCGCTACGACCAGACCTGCCTTCCTAACAACCTGAACACAAACGCGCAACGGCAAGAATATATCTGGAAGGTGTGTGAAGAGGGAAGGTGTGTGAAGAGGGTTATTCTGGCAGCTGGGAATAGTATGCCATCACCGCTGCCGCTTTCGGTTCTACGTCACGCTGATCCCTCGGATGCCATCTCCGTATTGTGGGTGCAAGTGGAGCAGCCGAGGGTTGATATCTTGGATTGAATATTGGCTTACGTAGTCAGCGCGGGCTTCAAATGGTTCCCGGGTCCCTGCGTAATCTTACTCGGTCGTGCCACCCTTCCTTGCCCTACCCTACCCTACCTCATACAGCACGCAGCGAACGACTCCAAGCTGACGTGCGAAATTAAGCTAACAATTACAAAGGACATGCCCGCTCCCATTTTTGTGTACTATGAGCTGAATGGGTATTACCAAAACCACCGCAGGTAGGTGCCGTACATATGGGGCATTGGAACACCATCACACGCATGATTACTTGGCACGCCAGTCTGCATGCAGACTAAGCATGCGGGGTTTTATCTGTCTTGCCAAGGGACTGGGTCATGGGCATGGGCTTGGGTGTAGTGTGCTTGCGCCGGCGATTAGGTCAACCGGTGGTCTTCCTTCAGAGCTTCAATTATTGGGGCGGCGACAGTCAGCAGTGACGCTTAACTGAGGAGGCAAACCGGGTGCTGCGACGCAGGTATGTCAAGAGCCGTAGCGACATGCAGCTGGCAGGGAAGAGCAAGGACCTGGCGACCAGCCTGTGCGACCCGCTGGAGTTCTTGGGCGGCAACAAGAGCTTGCCGATCAATCCTTGCGGCCTGGTAGCTTGGAGCTTCTTCAACGACACCTACACCGTAAGTTCACGCCGTAGGTTCAGCGGCGGTCTTAAACTGGAAAATGTTATTTGAGTTGGAAGTAAATCGCGGAATGGCGGACTGGCACCACAAAGTTTGCAGACCTTACCTAACAAGGTGTGCCGGTGTTCCTTGTGGTTGCCGTGCTGTGCAGATGATGATCAAGTCCAATGCCACGAGCCCCTCGAAACTGCTGCCCGTCAGTGACAAGAACATCGCTTTCGACTCTGACGTGAAGTACAGGTTCGCAAAGTACAACCCTCAGAACTTCAATCCTGAAATTAATTCGCTGCGTGGCGGCTTCAATCTGTCTTACGCCTCCGGTGGCGCCACGCCGAAGGAGAACCAGCGGTTCATGAACTGGATGCGTCTGTCCGCCCTCCCGCGATTCCGAAAGCTCTGGGGCCGGATAGACACGGATTTGAAGGCTGGCAATGTGGTGCCCATATCCATAACCAATCGTTACAATACGTACGCATTCGACGGCCAGAAGTCCATTGTGTTGGGCACCACCACATGGCTGGGCAGTCGGAACCCCTTCCTGGGCGTTGCCTACTTGGTGACCGGCGGTCTGAGCTTCGTGCTGGCGCTGGTGTACTTGATCCTGCGGTTAGCACGGCCACGGAAGTTCGGGGACCCGGCAGCGCTATCATTCAGTCGCGCCGGGGCGTCTGGCTGAGGTGGACAGGACTGCAGCGTTATGTGAAATTGGCACGGCCGGGGGACAGAGCGCCCCGGGGGCTAGATGTGAGCCAGGTGTAGCCAGATGCACACAGGCAGATGCAGGGCCGGGAAATGTAGTGAGCGACTGTGTAGGCGGTGACCTAAGTATTTATTAGCACGCTGGCCAGGGTAAGGCGCCGTGTCTTAAAACTGAACACATTTACTGCTCTCGGTGTGTGTTGATGTGGGGATATCAATTGATTTGGGTCGCCTAGTAACAGTATGCAGCTTATAGGGCTCCAACGCAGAGCGAGTCGCCTTGGAATGGTAAGGGGACGGTTAGTGGCTAGTGGTTATTGGACTGGTTCGGGAAAAATATATTGGGGGGCCCGGACGATGAGCCAGGACCTCTGTATAGCACAGCAGCGAGGAGTGTAAGATGCTAGAGTTCCCGGATTGAATATGTTTGATAGGTTTAGGGGTGTACCGTACCCTGCACTCCTTACATTCCCCCGGTCTTGGAAGCATCATCAAGCATGATGTAAGTGTACGGAAGACCGCGCTCATTGTGAGTAAGACTCTGTACAACGCTCCTTCAGTTTTGTTTCGGCGTCCACTGCGTACCCGTATGCGTTGCTTTGTCGTTGCTCGGAACGGGACATTACTCCGCCCCTCTTCCGTCCGCGGGAGAGAGCTTAGGCGGTCATTCCGATGCGGCAGGCCAGCAGGCAATGGCTAGTGCGAGGCCCAGTCAGATACTTGAGATTCAACGCACACGCATACACAAAAATCTCACACATATACAAAACTGCTCTTGGATACTATCCACCGCGGATGCTAGCCATGGCACAAACACCAACATCAGCTATTGTGTCTCTCCCCCTTTTGGGCCACATGGTCGAGCTTCACTTATGCTGAAACTCCGTTAGCCTCCTGAAAGGCGATGTTGTCAACTCTTAAGGACCTTCTAATACATTCTGAGGCTGAACAGCAGCTGCTTAAGCAGCAGTGCCACAGCAACATGGCACCAGCGCCACCAACACCTTGACAATCTGCACCAGCAGACTGTCGGCAACGCTTCTCCCCATCTTTACCTCTGTCCCTTCCTCTCCCTCACTCTCTCTATTTGTCCCGCTTCTCGCGAGGGGATTAACATCCCATTCAGGGCAACGTCGCCAGGTCACGTCGCCACGCTACGCCAAGGTAGGACAGGGCAGCTGCTGCAGTCCGGGGGAAAGGGTGCAATCTACAGTCTTCCACGCACCTCCAAAACGCACCTCCAAAATCCAACATCGATACAACAATACCCCACATCACTCCTGAGCGATTCGCTCCAGGCATAATCAGTCCAATGAATAAAGCTATTGTTACACGGATAACGCCATGCCCCACTCGGGGTCAAACCATTTGGCCTCCACCTTCTTCGTCTTCCCCAACCTCCCCAAGCTCCGAAAAACAAGCCTAGCGAACAGCTCGCCACCACGTGTGCATGTATATCTATATGCATCTGACGGCAGACGAGCTACGTGTAGCTACACAACAAGCGGCGAGGAGTGAATCACGGCAGGCGCAGATCGTCAAGAACACGCAAGTACACAATCCACATTCCGCAAAACTTTGCTACCGCTTGCTAGCCCCCACCGCACCCATCACCTAACTTTGCCAATGCTACAACATTGGACAACAACACCTGACAGAAGAAGCTACTGGAGCGCGTTATTGCAGCACTCGAGGTCCGGTCGGCGAGTCGGAGGAAAGAGAGCTGATGGTGATGGCACACAGGGCCGTAAGGGTCAAGGCGTCCTGGAGCGGCCCGCCGGCACACGCCAGCACGCGGCTAGTTCGCTGCAGTGCTGAGCACCACGCAGGACGCGTTGCCACTGGCACGCCGTCGCGTACTTGCCTTGATGACAACAGCTAGCTGGGAAGCCGATGCGTAAGGAAAAAAACAGGGCCCAATTACTTGTATAGGCCACAGTTGTCGTTGTGCAGTGCAGGTGCAGGTGCAGGTGCGTTTACTGTAATGCAATGAATGCAGTGAGTGCATTAAGGATGCAATGCAATGCCGTGCATGCCACACATACATACACATGTGCATGTGTGTGTGGCACGATACATACATGATAGGCCATACCACGTGGTCTCGCCACGTGGACCAACACGCTGACGCCCGCGAACCCGCGGAGGATTGTGAACCCCGGCACATGATGGCAAGAGCAGCGTCCACAATGCAAAGACACAACACGACACGTCAAAAACACCACAGGATGCACCCGCCCGTAGCAGCAAAACACACAAGCACACGCTGCGAAGCGAGATGGCATATGTGCACGTGCGTCCATCCAGCAGCGGCGACAGGCCATCCGTACCGTCGTCGTACAGTTCACGTCGTCGTTTTAATGTTTACCATGCATAGCTGACGAAGTCGTTCAAAACTCACCTACCTCCTTCCTCATGGCTCTTTCCTGCCCTCTCTAAGACCTCATTCATGTACATAATTCCTATCATACATACCACAGCTTCGCCATCCTGCCCAGAAACCGCCAGCTGAAAAACTGAAGTCCGAACTAAAGCGCGGGCTCGGCCGCAGCTGCACAAGGCTGCTGCTGTGCACCGCTGTGTAGTGTTGGCCCCCCCCCAGCCGCTACCTTACCGTCTGAGCACCCTGACGCGCCTAAGCGGCTATAGCTGCTACGGGTTGGTTTTGCTAGACTATCGCCGCCATCCGGGGCCACCTGACTTGCGTTTCGCGATCAGGGCGCTTTGCTGTCCTTGACTGCTGAAAACCCTAAAACCGTAAGTTGCAGCAGCGGCGGCGGCATATTTTTTACGCCTTGGCCTCTGCAACAGCTGCAAGGACTGCAGCGGCTATGGCTGTTGCTAGACCTGGCGCCGGCGCGGGTGTAGCAGGGGCAGGGGGGAGGCGCGGGGACGGAAGTCCAGGTAGGTGATGTCGCCGGTGCCGCTGCCCACCGCTAGGCCTTCGAGCTGTACGGCAAGTGCGGCGGAGAAAGAGTGGTGCGGTCCATCCTGCAGGACATCATCCATGGATGGCGATAGGGCCGGGGATACGACAGCGGGAAGGGCGACGAGGCGTGTTGTGGCAGAAAAAGCTTAGGCACTTCGGCACAGCGTGTCCTTTCGGCACCTGTTCATCCCCGTACTGGAGCATATCGGTCGCAAGGGGGCCCCTACGCGCACCCCACCTGCATGCAGATGACGGGCTCAAGTAGTCTGCGGTGCGCGGACACCACCCGCCGCAACCGGCCCACGGCGCTACCGGGCCGGGCTAGCGATGCAGCCGTCGCCGCGGAGCTGCCGCCGCCTCTGCCGCCGCTGTCAGCGTCGCTCCCCCCGCTGATCTCCATTGATCCGTCCAAGCCCTTGCATGTGTACACGATAAGCCCGTCTGCGCGATGATGACGACGGGGGGGGGGAAATGCAAAAGAACGGAGGTAAGCAAAGGCACGCACACGCACCGTGCTGTCCGTCAAATTCAACATCGACGCGCTCTGCTGACTGACCCACCTACCTACGAATCGCACCAGGCTCTTATGCTCAGTCTGCATATGTCTCCGTGTTGAAGCGAAAGGGTTTCAATTTCAAGTCTCCATGCAGCATGATGCATTGGCCCCCCCCGGCCGTCGACTCACCGTTCATGGCCAGGGTCGCCAACATGCCGTGTACGAGGGCCAGTGACGTTACAGGACCGCTGTGATCGGATAACTGCGCCAGCGCCGTACCCGCCACAGGGTCCCACACCCGTACCTCCCGTACGGAGCCCGTCACGAGCACCAGCCGCTGCGACGGCGGCAGCCGCTGTGGCCGGGCGCGGCAGCTGCCATACTGTCCCGGCGGCAGGGCTAGCGACAGCGGCCGCGGCCCTGAGGCCACATCGAGATCTGGCGGCAGAAGCATCTGGTCCCGGTGCGATTCGTCGCGGCGCGGCAGGTAGCCAAACTGTACGGAAAGGACGCCGACGGAATGGCCACGTAGGGTCGTGTGGCATTGCGCCGTTGCGAGGTTCCAGACCCGTACGACGGCGTCGGCGCCTCCAGTGGCCACGAGCCATACAGGGAGGGCGGCGCTGGCGGCGGCCGTCCTGGGAGCTGCCGCCAATGCCGCCGGGTCCTCCTCGCCGGTGCGGCCTCCGCCGCCACAAGAGGCCGCTTGCAATCCAGATGGCGCGTCCATAAGGCCCGTGTTGAGCAGGTGCGACAGTACCGTAACGATATCATCGTACACCCCTATTCCACCGTCCCGACGGGCTCTTCCACCGACGCCGGCGGCGGCATCACCGATGATGCGATAAGCATCCCCGCCAGCAGCGGCAGCGGCAGCCGTCACCGGGGGGGCCCCTGGCGCCGCCGCTGGTGCCGTCACCACCCCGGGCGGCGCCTGGTGTACGTCCATGCACAGAATGGCTGAAGTATGACCGCAGAATGTCGCTAGGGATTCAAGAGTTTGGGAACCGCCCGAACCGCCGCCGCCTCTGTCGCCACCGGCAGCATGCTCGCGGCTGCCGTCGCCCCGTCCCCTGACGGCCGCTCCCCCGACACCGGAGGCAGCGGCGCCTGGCGGCGATGGCGCTTGCACCGCCGCCTGCATTGCGCTGTACGGCGGCAGCTGCCACAGCTTGGTAGTGCAGTCGCGGCTAGACGACACCATCACACTGCTGCCGTACAGTACGGCAATGCCCCATACGACGTCACCGTGGCCAGAGAAGGTGCGCAGCGGCTGCTTGGTGGGGAGATGCCACAGCCGTATGGCACCGTCGATGCAACCTGTGACTACCCAATCCTCCCATTGCGGGTCGTACGGCAGCTTCAGCGCCAGTACATCCGCCGAGCAATCCTGCGTCGTACCACAACCCGAGCCGCCGTGCATGCCGTCGCCAGCAACCGCCGCCGCCGCGGTTGCTGTCGCCCCGGTTGCGGCATGCGCCGCGGCCCCCGCGGCTGCATTAGGCGTCCCACCAACGCCATCGCCGTAGAGCCCCATCCCGCCACTGCCGCCGCTGCCACTGCCGCCGCCGCCGCCGGCAGCTCCGGTTGTTGCGGCGGCGGCGGTTTCCCCGCAGTCGTCTTGGCAAATGTGATGCGCGAGGTAGCGCGTGGTGGGCAGCGGCGGCGGCGCGTAGCAGAAGCGCACCAGCGTCACCTCCTGGGGATGCTCCAACACGACCCACGGGTCGCTGGACTCGGAGTAGTAGCGCCAGGCCGCCACCCGTCGGTCCGTGGACGCTGCGCAAGCGGGACACAGAAATAAAAAACGGAACAAATCAACCAATGACATACCCGCGGGTTATTATTATCCGCTCACACAACAGCTCCGACCCAACGACCCGGTATACCTCTGGAAGCAAACTTCCTCCACTCGCCTCTGTAGACCCGCCCAATCTACACCCTATCCCGCCCCGACGGCCGTGGTGTCCTCCATTCTGATCCCCGTGCGTCCTGAAGCACACGAAGTCCTGCGGGGGCCCCATAACCCCATAACCTTCCTAGCCCCTCCTGGCCCCGCGGGTGCCGTGACCATAACCTGTGCGTCCTGGCCACATTACCCTGGGAACCCGATCTCCCCGAGAGCCCCGATCCCCCAGTCCTCATCCCACCATCATCACCACCCACCTGTCACCACGTGGTGCTGCCCCGCCGCCATGCAAGTAATCCAACCCGTGTGACCCCGATACCGCCGCACACACCGCGCCTGCTGCGGCGCGCCATTAGCCGACCCCAGCGAGAACACGCGCACGCTGCCATCCCACGCAGCGCTCAGCAGCACAGAGCCCCACGGCTCCACATGCTGGAAGGCCAGACACTCCACATTGCTGCTGTGCTCCCGCAGCGCCATCTCCGCGTAACGTGCGGACCGCCAGTTGGATTCCATCCGTACTGTTCGGCCGTACAGGTCCTTGAGGTCCGGCGGCGGCGCGTCCGGCCGTTGCTGCTGCCCCGCATGTCCATGGTCCTTCGGGTGCTGGCGTTGCTGCTGCTGCGGCTGGCTTTGCTGATGGTGGTGGTGGTGGTGGTTCTGTTGAAGCCGGTCCAGGAAACCCGCTCGCAGGCCGCCTAGGAAGTCCTCGTGGCTGGAGCCGCCGGCCGCATGTACCGCCCGTACCGCGCGAATGCCGCGAACACCTGCCACCGCACGTGCTCCTGGACCCCCACTCCCGACCCCGACCCCTGCTGCCACATCGCCCCCATCCACAGCCGCCGCTGCCGTCGCCGCCTTCGGCGACGTGACCTGTTGTTGTCGCGCCACGTATGCTGCCGCCGGCAGGGCGTACCCTGCCGCACACAGCTGCCGTACCCAAAGCCACGGCTCCCTTGCGGCGCGGCGCCAGCTGCGGCACACGGCCGCCGCTGCCGCCAAGCTGCGTGCGGGCAGCGCCTTGAGCACCTCCAACAAGACCTCGGGCGGCAGGTCGGACAGACAGCTAATCCGGGCCGCGGCTCCTGCCCCTGCGGAAGCACTGTCAGCGCCTGCTAGTGTGTCGGCTGCAGACGTGGCGGCGCTTGGCGCCCAGGGCCATTGCTGCTGCTGCTGCTGCTGCTGCGCCGGAGTCAGCTCCGCTGCCACTGAGGAACCGAGTTGCTGGTTATGGTAGTCCTGATGATGATGATGCTGATAGGATCCAGCGGCGCTGAGCTCTGCAGGGAGGCTGCCGACGGCGGCTCCGCCGCCGTCGGCGGTACGACCCGGTGTCGGCGGCACCGGCGGCACCGGCGGCACCGGCGGCGTGGCATGATCCAAGATGCTGCCGCTGCCTAAGATTCCGCTGCCGTCAACCTGCAGGCCGCCGGCAGCCGTCACCCCTACCTCACGCAGGTGCGACCTGACGACGCGCATGGAGGAGGCGCGGCCTGAAGGTGCGTGTGGGCTGCCCGGTGGCGGTGCGGGCTGCATGGGAAGTGGGGTACTGGGGCCCAACGGCGACCGGGCCTGAGGCTGCGGTCGTAGACTAACGGGTGGGGATGGCAGGGGCTGCGGTACTGAGGCCCCGACACCGCTGCCATGGGCTGGGGCTGCATCGCCAGGGCCGGGCCGTGACGGGGAGCTCTCACCGTCCTCGACACCGCCTCTGCCGCCAGCGGATGCAGCATTAGCTGCGTTGCCGCTGCCGCTGCTGAGGAAGCTTTGGTTGGGAGCGGTAATGGGGCCCGCCGGAATTGCGGCAGGCTGGGTTGCGGCCTCGGCAGCCTCCGGCTGCAGGCTTGGGAGGAGCTCTCCCAGCAACCGCGCGGTGCGTGGATTGTTGCGGAAGGACCCAGATTGATTTGGAGATGCAAATTGAGAGGGGGGCTGGGGTGGGAGTGGTCGTGGTGGTGGTGGTGATGGTGGTGGCTGAGGCTGTCGGTGCTGGGTGGCAGACTCCGCGGGGTCCCCAGCAGCCGGTCGGTCCACGGCTGCAGCCTTGGCCGCGGCAGCAAGCTGCACACAGCGAGTCTTGTGATGAGGCCAGTGATCCCTTTGACCTGTCGGAGGAGTTCAGGAAGAGGAGCGGCGTTGGCAGCGGCAACTGGATAGGCGAGGATTGCTGGGAGGGGGCACGAGCAATGGATAGGAACAGAGGACCCACTGAAGCGGGTACTTCGGCTAGTAACGCCTTCTTCGACTTGTTTCTTCTGTTTTACCCAACTTACATTCTCGACTGCAATACCTCTCCACTTTGCACCTTGCACATCGGAAAAGGGCTGGCTTGTCACAAATTGCACAAGATGCCATGCAAAGCCACCTCCTGTATTCCCTTCTTTAGATGCCTACAAAACTCGCCGAGGCGATGCAACTCGACGAGATGTCGCATGCGGCCAACACAGCAACATGTCTCTAGCAGCAAGGAATGACAACGGTGGCTATTTAGAATCATATGTGCTTAAGACAGGAGCGTTGCATCACTTGAATGATTGACCGGACTGCACGAACAACCAAACGTCAACGAGAAAGTACACCCTATGATAGAAAAAATAGATATGTAACGACATTAATGTCATACCTTATGTCATCATAGTACCTAAACAATTTATATCAAATTTTGTGTGATAACCCAATCTGATTTGCTTGCTCCCCCGAAAGTCGATACGGTAACCAGGAGGAAACCAGCGATAACAAGGAAGCGGGCTTACATCTTTGCAAAACCTACTTATTCGGGAAATATCTACGTTGATTTAACCGCGATCCAGCGAACCCGGCTGAACCGTCGCGTAAGGCGCCGTACCGGTCTTCTCGTGGCCGCGTTCCCATGCCACCAAAATCCGGTCATACGCGGCCTGGCAGATCTCATGCAGGCGTCAAAACGAAAGGCGGTGGCGGCGCCGCGGACAGCCGGAAAGGTGGCAAGGTGGGTGGTGGCGGCGGCAGTGGAGCACTAGAGGGCGGCGCCATGGCAACGGCAGTCATTCAGAAGAAGGCCGTTGGGGGCGTCTCTGCTGGAGTGGAGGCGCAAATACGATCTCTGCTGCTGGTAAGTTTCCCCCCGTATACACCCCCCCTCAACCCATCTACCCTAGCGCCGAAACCCCAACCCCGCCCAACCCACACGACGGCACTGGCATGCGCCTCAGCCATCCCCCAGTTCTGAAGCACGCCCAAATAACCCAAATCCCTTCTCTCCTATCACGATCCCCAAAGCCGAACACATAGTCCCTGCTTATTGCCGTACCCGGTGCTCTCCCTTTTCGCACTGACGGGACGCAAACCCTGCGCCGCATCCTTCTTAAGTTCTCTCCCTCCCGCGACTTCTCTCCGCCCTCCCCACCATCGCGATTCGTTTCCCAGCCAAGAATAATTTCCTCCGCCAGGAGGCTTAAATGCTTCGTTTCTCGATCGGGGGTTATTGGTTTTTAATGTTTTTCCAATGTGGGTTCTTTAATCGGGGGTAATGTTTTAACATATAAAAACGTGGGAGGACGATGACGGTCTACCGCGTAACCGCACGAATAATGATGTACCGTCCATGTGCCCCCTCCCCCTCAGGCTTTTACGGATACCCCCGCACTTGTGCGTGGAGCTTGTAACTTGTAACTATTACTTACTGGGTTGTAAGACCCAACCACTCCGCAACCATACACCCAGCCGCCGGCTCTCCCTCCGCGGTTACCTTTCCTGTCTTAAACTGCGCTCAGGAGCTCCAAAGGCAAGAGCTGCTCCTCCAGCAACACCAGCAGCAGCAGCAGCAGCAGCAGCAGCAACAACATCATCGCCACATGGCGCAGCGCGGCGGCGGCGGCGGCGGCGGGGGACCCGCTGGCGGCACTGGCGAGCCCGGGGCAGCGACGGCGGTGGATGGCCGTACACTGGCGGTCTTCAGCACCCTGTGGAACCAGTTACTGGCGGCTGGTTTCGGAACCGAGCACATCAAGAGGGTGGTTCCGGAGCTGGCCCGAGGGGTGCGGCGCGGCGCGGCGCGGCGCGGCTAAGGAAAAAAAGGGGTGGGGGGTGAAAGGGAACCACATGGAGAGGCGGCGGTGGGCGCAACGGGTTTGGCCCCGATGCCAGGACAGGCAGCAGGTCTTTGAAGGCGCATGCAGGCCGCATCCCCGCATCCCCTCTTAAGTTATACCATTTTCAAAACGTAGTTCCACCCCCCACCCCTGGCCGCCTTCCGTCCTTCACCAGTCGCCTCCGTCATCGTGGGATTACACATGGCACCGAATGCTTCCGTACCGCACCTATGTCCCGTTTGTTTAAAAATCCACACTCACAATCAAAGCCTCCCCTTCACCCTTACACCCGCCGTACCAGCTCTCGTCACCTTCCCTGGAGGCTGCTCTGGACTGGCTCTGCCTCCACCTCGCGGCGTCGGAGCTGCCCCAGAAGTTCAAATCTGCCGGCGGCGGCGGCGGCGCTGGGGGCGCGCCCGTACGCATCCTAGCCGTAGCCCAAACCCAACACCAACAAGAACTAGTCAGCGCAACAGCTGGCGCAGCAATAGCAGTAGCAGGCGAGTCGGAGCCCGGAGCTGTACGGTTGGAAGGCCGCAGTGACGGGCTGTGGGACCAGTCTTCGGATTCCGGTTTAGGCGTGTCCGACAACGAGGCAGAGCCCGCCGGGGCCGCGGCGGCGGCGGCGGCGGCGGCGGCAGCGCAAGGAAGTACGTCGGACGACGTCGTGGGCTCAGCGGCAGGGGCAGCGGCTACGAGAGCCGCCGGCGGCGGCGGCGGCGGCATGAAGGAATGGATTCTGCGGTACATGGACGAGCAGGCCAGCAGCAGTGAAGACGAGCGGGAGGCGGCGGAGGGTGGTACGGCAGGCACATCGTCGTGTTCTTCCGTAGCGGATTTCGAGTGGGAGGTGTGGGGCGACCCGCGTGAGGTGTCTCGCCGGAGGGCGGAGAGGGCGCGGTCCCGGCTGCCGCCGGAGGAGCGGCGGAAGCAGTTGGCGGAGGAGTGGGTCCGAGCTAAGGAGGTGGCGGCTAGGGCCAAAGCAACGGGTGCGTGGGAGGCAGGGAGGCAGTGGATGGGTTGGTGGGAGAGTCTGTTGGAAGTGCCAGTCAGGGAGGGTACAGACGGACAGACAGACAGACAGACAGGGAACACCGAATGCTTACTTGCCCGCTATTTCTAATCCATTATTATTCCCCTTGCCTGGACCCGTGAAACTTTGCCCCCTTGGCATGTACGGGTCAACTGCAGGCCAAGCCGCGGACACGTTTATGGCACTTTTCGTCACTTTTCCCGTGTGGCCGTCTGTCGCCCCTCATATCCCCCTCTCTTGCCGCCCCCGCTCGCCCCTCATGAACCCCTGACAACCCATACACATCCATCCCCCCGCCATCCAACCACAACCACATCAGGTGATAAGGCCCGCCAGAAGGACGTCGGCCTGATGATTCGCGACCTGAAGCAGGAGATGGCGGCACTGGGGGTCACGGAGCAGCAACTAGACCAGATTTTGGGGGGTGCCTCTGGATCCCTGGTGGCGGCAGGACAGGCCGCAGGAAGTACGGGTGCGACGCGGCGGCGGCAGCCGCCGGCGGGGGCGGCGGTCGCGGCCGTTACTGATAAGGGCGCCGGCAAGGACGATAAGGCCAAGGGCGGCAAGGAAAAAGCGGCGGTCAAAGGCGGCAAGGGGGAGAAGAACAAGGGCGGCGGCAAGGGGGGCGACAAGGCGGCCGGCAAGGGCGGCAAAGGGGAGAAGGCCAAGGGCGGCAAGGAGCGAGATGGCGGTCAAGGGAAGGGCGGCAAGGGCAAGGGGAAAGGCGCAGGTGAGGATGGAACTTCTGGAGTGCTGGCTGATGGGCTTCGGTGCGGGTGGGGACTCTTTTCCCCCCTGGAAGGGGGGCGGTGAAACGTAACGCCTCACATCGCCTTCCGGTCCGGGCCCAGGTCCCTTTGTGCGTGTGTGTTTGCGTGTGTGTATGAATGGGTACGTGTGTGCAGCGAAGATGGCACACGCTTTTTTGTATGTGTGTGTGCGTGCGTGCGTGTGCGTGTGTGCGTGTGTGTGTGTGTGTGTGTGTATCTAAGAAGCTGATAGATGCCAGGGCGAGGATCGGAAAGAAGCTCGCTGCCTGCGCTCAGTTCAGCTCAGGTCAGTTGAGCTCTCCGAGCTCTCCCCGCTATCCCGATCAACTCCCGTCCACCCCGAGCCAGTGGTTCGTCTTACCCCCTCCCCCCCGAACTCCGGCCCCCGAAGCAGGCAGGCGCGCAGCAGCCTCCCCGCCGCCCTCCGCGTCAACATCACCCTCAGACACGGACTCGGAAGCCGAGGCCACTGCGCCTGCTGTGCCTGCCGGCCGCCGTCCCGTGGCTCCGAAACCCGAAGATGACGTGGTTCCGGACAGCTGGGAGGATAGGGATCCGTGTCACAGCGAGGCGGCCGAGGCGGAGGTGGCGGTAGCTGGCGGCGGAGCGGTCGGGGAAGGCGGCGGGAGCGGGAGAGGGGAGGAGGTGGCGAGGGAGGCCCAGCGGGCAGGGACACGCGAGGCTGACGGGGCGGAGGTGGCGGGGGCTGGTGGCGGCAGCGACGGCGACGGTACGGCGGCGGCAGCAGCCGCGGAGGGGGAGCCAGCGTACGACGACTTGTCTGGCGGTGATGAGGTGCGCGGGAGAGAGAGAGAAAGTGGTGTGTTACGTGGTACTGGCGGGAGGGTGGGGGTCGGCTACTGCACCCATCTGTTTGTTACGTGCGATTGATGCATGACGGAGAACGGACCCTGACAACCTGCGTCTCACCCATCACATCAACGCTTAGCATCAGCATCAGCATCGGCATCAGGACGTATTTGTAAAAATCCGGCTGTGTGTCGCAAATTAAAAATTTGAAACTGCGCGAAGTCCCAAGTTTGAAATCCAGTAGGTTAAACTCGAACACGGGTGCCATCATACAGGAGTCACCTCTCCAAGGAAAGGATGCGGATGCGGCACCACCGACGGCGTCAGGCAACGTTGACAGGTCCAGGAAGGCTGGCGCCGCCGCCGCCGCCGCCGCCGTTGACGGCGACACCGGCTTTTCGCTCCCCAGCCTCTTTGACGATGATGATGGCAGCGGCGGCGGCGGGCTGGATTTCTCGACGCCCGCCGCGCCGCCATCAGCGTTGCTGCGCGCGGCGGCAGAAGCGGTGCCTGGCCCCTGGGGCGAGTACGGCAAAGGCGCCGGCGGCGGCAAAGGCGGCAAGCGAGGCGCCGCCAAGACGCAGCCTGGCGGTGTTGGTGGTCCTGGTGCTGGTGCCGCCCCGGTGAGGTGGGGGCTTGAGTTCGGGGGCCGAGGGGATGAGCAGCTCATCCGTGGTCTCCCTGCGCCGCTCCCACACGTGAAGCTGCGGCCGCCGCAGCTGCTTTTTCCCGTGTCGCCCTTCGATGCGCTCTCAAGCTCTTAACCTGCCAAAAGCTTCCCTAGCACCCGAGTCCTCATTTTTCGGGCCTCCATCCACCACCACCACCACCACCGCCACCCCATACACCCCCCAGTGGTTCGTCTTAACCCACATACACGCTCGTGCCCCCGCAGGAGCAACCCAAGACGCCGCGTGCGCTGCTGTCGCAGCTGTGCCAGAAGCAGGCCTGGTCGCAGCCCCGGTACGAACGTCTGGCGGCAGTGGCAGCAGCTGGCGAGGACAGCAGCGGCGGCGGTGGCGGCGGCGGCGGCGGCGCCTTCCGCTACAACGTGGTCCTGGATCTAGGACCCGCGAGGTTGGGAGGGGGCCAGAGGGGGCCAAGGGTGAAGAGGGGGCCTTCAGGGGGTGGGGACCCAGGGGCGGGGGAAAGTTAAACTGTCCGCGGTTGTGATTGTGTATTTGTGACTGTTACGTCCGTGGTGTTGAACTGGGGGGGAGACACGGGGGGTGGCGGGGGGTAGCCCGGGAGCTCAGGGCAGGACGACCATGCAAGCACGAACGCACGAAAGCTCGATAGCAAGGTCTACACGAAGCAAAGCCACAATCACCATGCACGGACCTGGTAGCTTGCCTCGCTAGCATGGTAGCCTGCATGTACGGCAACGAGAAAAGTAAAAACAGGGAGAGACAGGTACACTAAAGGAAGGGCGATAAGCACTTCTCCACACCGTTTCCATGTATGGGGAGGATCCATGGCCCAGCATGTATCCTCCAGAGGCTGCTGTATCCAGGCCCCCCGGGCAAGGTTTTGCCGGGGGTCACCCCCCCCCCGGGTTACCCCCCCTCCTTCGTGACGGGGACACACATGAGTTTGGCCCGGGTGCCCCTCTCGCGCCACCGGATGATGCCGCCGGGCAACTCCCCCTCCCTTCCCTTCCCTTACCTCCTACCAGGGCCCCCCCCCCAGCCCCTCGCTTCCGGTCCTATCAGCTCGTATCCTCTCCGCTTGATAGTCTAGATTTCCATTGTCATGTTGTCATCATTGTCGTCATTTTCGGTAATGGGTTAATGTTGAGTTGCGTCATAGAACGCATTGTTCAGTATTGAGCTGCGTTACTTACTGAGATTTTGCATGCTCATGCGCGTTCGGGTTCGCGTCCGGGTAGGGTAGGGTCATGTATGCTGGGTTAGATTGTGCTTTTGATTGATGAGTCCTCCGGCGGTATTCCTCCGCTGCCGTAGGGGCTTGGCGAAGAAGCGCAACCTGTACGGCATACGTGTGTACGGCGTGCCTGCAAAGGAGTGCCAGGCCCTTGACGGCGGTGGCGGCTCGCGGCTCCCGCCCCCGACTTGGCCGGACGCGCTGACGGCGCAGGACGCCGCCGCAGCGCGCGCTCTGTACGAGGTAACGCCGCCGCTGCAGCTGCAGCAGTCCATGTCCCAATCGCTGGCGCCGCAGTGGCGGCAGCAGTGGCTGGAGTGGGAGGCCGCCGACGGCTCCGCCGCGGCGGCGGCCGCCGCCGACGCCGCCGGCGCCGCCGTAGTGGCAGCCGGCACGGCGGCGGCGGCGGCCAAGCAGGCTGAGGAGGAGAAGCTGGCGGTACTGCGGGAGCTGCTCTCCCGGCCGCCGCCAGCGCCAGCAGCAATAATACCCCCGCCGCCGCTGCCCTTTGCGCGTACATCGCAGCTTGCGACAGCGGCGGCACCGCAGCCGCCCTGCATTGCACCTCCTCCATTGCCTCCTCCTCTTCCTCCTCCTGCACTCCTGCCCACATCACAGCTGGCGGCATGTGCACAAGAGCCGGATGCAGGGGATCAGCAGCTCACGCAGCTAGAGGCTCCGCAGCCGCAGGAAAGCCAGGAGCCGGCGCCGGAGCCGGGTCCTGAGGAGGTGCAGGAGGGTGAGGAGGTGGATGAGGGGGAATCTGACTCCCATGCTGAGCCCATGACCCACCATGACGGGGATGCAGTGGAGCAGGAGGAGTGGGAGGACATGATGATGGCGCTGGAGGAGCCTCAGGAGGAGGAGGGGGAGGAGCCGCAGGAGGAGGAGGGGGAGAAGCAGGACCAGGAACTGGTCACAGAGCAACCCGTCCAAGAGGAAGGACCGGTTTCGGAGCCGGAACCCGGGGAGGTTAAAGCGGACATGACGGAGGCGGAGGCGGTTCTCACGGACGAGGCTCAGGCGGCCCAGGCCCAGGCGCAGGCCCAGGTGCAGGCGCAGGTACAAACTGCCGTCGATGAAATGACGTCGGTGACGAGTCCGTTGAGTCAGGTCTCCGGGAGGCGGAGGCGGACGTGTGTCGTGTGTTTTATGTCCCGGAAGTGCTTCGGGAACCACCCCACATTCCCCCTCTCCAGCTTACACTCCCCCCCCCTTAGCATTAGGGCCTTGAAGGTCATATATTAAGGGTAGTCGGTTTTTTTTACTTTTTTTGTTTTCTATGTACGTGTAATGTACATTCCCAGGGCCGTCGCCGCGAGTCCGACACCGAGTCGGCCGTCAGCGCCTCTCTGCGGGCCGCCCTGGAGCGCTGGCAGGACAGTCCCGCGGGTCAGGCAATGGCGTCGGCACGTGCGGCTCTGCCCATTGCGGCAGTGAAGGGGGAGCTGCTGGAGGCGCTGCGGCAGGGGGACGTCGTGGTCGTGAGCGGTAAGGCCGGGCGGGCGGGTGGGCGGGCAGGGTTGTGTGTGTGTATGGCGGGGTGCGGGGTGCGGTGTATCGAACAACGCAGTGGTGGGCTGGGTGTTGGAAAAGGTTGGCACCGCGTGTTGGGACTCAATACACATGGCGTGGGGGTGAGTGTCGGTTGTGTATTGTGTATGTATTCGACTGCGGGTCAGAACCGGGGCTTGGGGCCCCCGCTGCCTGGTGTGCCGCGGCGGGGTACATGGGCCGCGGCTGTTTAGAGGAGGAGGAGGAGGAGGAGGAAGGGGGGGGAAAGCAGGTCTGCCTGCTTGGGCACCCGGCAGGCACCCGCTTGGGCTCGCAGCCTTTGGCCAACATCCGCCTGCAGCCCGGGACTTGGGGGTCAACCAAGTTCAAGTTCGGGATTTCCTGTGTTGAATTGCATCATATTTTTTCCGTGTGTATTGGTAGGGGGAGAGATTCCGGGGTCGTGTGTTTCTCATCCCCGCTTCCCGCCGCCCGCCGCCCTTCCTCCTGTCTGCTTGCTTACATCCCTTTGCCTCCCTTACCTCCCATATCGCCCCCGCTCTCTTCCCATATCACCCACTTGCCCGCCCGCTTTCCCCCTCCCCCGCCTCCTCCTTCCCCTCCCCCTCCCCCTCCCCCTCCCCCTCCCCCCTGGGACCACCTCTCAGGCGACACGGGCTGCGGTAAGACCACCCAGGTGAGAGGTCTGACGGGCGACCCACGGGTCAGTTGTGCAGAATGTGATTTGTTACAGCGGACCCCGAACGGGTTGAGTGCATCAGCGCAACGCTGTGGGCCCTTGTGCAGCCATAGCCGAGTAGTAGAATAGTAGCGGAGTCCAGTGGGACGACGGGTTTGGGGTTCAGCCCTCGCCGCAAACGGCTACCGTGGAATGGCAGTCTACCGCCGAATGGCGGCGGTAGGCTCGCGGTAATTCGCAATGCCGGACTGGGGCGATAGCTGTGCGGTGGATTCGAGTTTGGAGGGACAAGGGGGGAGCGTTGTTTTGGGGCGGTGTGTGTGCGCGTGTATGTGGGTGTATGGAGGGGCAGGGGCCTATGTCTAACACCTTATACCTAATGCCTACCCCAAGGGACTCCCCCCTGAGGTCCTGCCTCCCTTACACATTCACACGGCCACATCCGCGCGTGCGTGCGCCCATGTGGGTGTGGGCTTTCTTTTTCTCTCTGTCCTTTTCTCTTCTTTTCCTGCGATGCAGCAGCAAAGCACTCAACTACAATATTTACGGTCCCGTCGTAGTTTCCTTTTTTTTCCTTCACATACGAGACATGGAATTAGGGATAGATCCTTGGCCGCCTACCAAGTACAGCTAACTGCCTGACGTCATGATGGCTATGCCTGTCGAGTGTTCCACCGTGTAGCGGCTGGGCCAGGGAGAGTCTTAAAAGCGACAGGCAGCCTCGAAAAGCAAGAAAACAAGAACCCCATTCGAACCCCACTCATCCCAACTTCTTGTCCGGTCGTTTGAGTTGCTACCTAAACGCGGATGTATCGGCATTTTTTTAAATGCGAGTGGAGAGTTGAGTGCCCCCGCATCCCCCTCCACTCCCATCCGTTCCTATGTAGCAGTATTCATAGATTGTCGTAGATTGCCAACCCTTCCAGTGCAAAATCTGGATTCAGAATCCCCCTCAGATTCAAACCACATCCGCCATCACCACCTTACTGAGCGAATGCAAGCCTGCCTCCATAGGTACAGACACACATGTTTCACGACCTAGCGACGGTAAACACTGTAACAACAACAGCATGAACACATCGGGCCGCGTGCAAGGGCTTCCAACAGCATCCGTCGCCGCTCTCACGTCCTGGGGTTGCCTCACGTAACGTTGCCAACGGTTGCCGACAACCATCGTCCAAAGACGCTGGCTTTTTCAAAAGAGGTCTACAAGGTTGCTCGCAGGTATCTCGTGCTTCTGGTTCCTCTCCCCTGCACCTCTGCTCCTCCTCCTCCTCCCCCTCCTCCTGGCCACCACCCTCTTCCTCTTCTTGTGGTATACCACGCTCTTTCTCGTTGAGTCTCCACGCGCTCCTCCCGCTTCCCTCCACCTCCTCCTCGGGCTGCTCACTCGAGCCACAAGTGAGTGGGGTGCGAGGTCTCACACAGCGACACGGCGTGTGACTGGCAGTTGCCCTTTGCCGCCATCACACACTCCTATTGCGGGGAAGGGTGGTAATGGGCCGCGGGAGGGGAGGAGGAGGACGTCGAGGGCGCGACAAGAAACATGAAGCGGGACGAGGGCGGGTAAAGGCCGGCTGGCTGGTTGGGAGGCTGGCTGGTTGTGCTGCAGGTTCTCATCCCCCACAAAGGCTGGGTGCCGTTGTGTAGCTTGGGCCCAAGGGAGGGGGAACCACGCTGTCTTCTTCTGCAACGTCAAAAAAGACTCATCACGTGGTCTTTATAACCCCGGCTGTTCCCAGCCCAGGGATTTGGCCCAACCATGGATCTATTCCATTCCATTCCGAGATCACGCGGGGGTCGCCACGTCCTTAACCCCGTTTCGCCAGTATTAACCCCATTTCGCCTTTACCACTTGCCAAGCACCCCGCGACTTGACATAAATGGAAAGGAAGGGCTTGGACAGAAGGCTCTGTACGAAAAGCTAACGTCATGCTCGTTAGGAGCAGAAAAAAGTCGGATTGCTTAAGTAACGGGGGGGGGAAGGACAGGGTGGCGCAGAGATAGAAGAAGATCAGGTGGCTGAGAAAAGAAAAAAGTCGGATTGCTTAAGTAACGGGGGGGAAAAGGACAGGGTGGCGCAGAGATAGAAGAAGATCAGGTGGCTGAGAAATGCTTCCCTCCGCGCATATTCCATTTCAACTAGATAAATTCGCCGCCCCGCGGTATGCCTTAATACCTCTTGAGCGCGGTCCCACTACTGCCCCTTGCTGGTGGCCCTTGTATAGATGTAGTAGATAGGGACACGCAGCGATGGGAACCGTTATGCAAGCTAAGGGAGGAAAGGAGGGGGGCAGAAGGTGGTTTGGCGTAGGGAGGGACCCCGTCGCTGATTGCTTCTGAGACGCACCTCCAGAACTCGGGACTCACAGGCCTCCAACTCCCCGGCGTCACGGCCACCTAGAAAGGTCATGCGGAGGGGGGGTGCGGTTTGACGGGAGTGCGGGCAAAGGGCAGGCATTCTTACAGGAAAAGCGAATCGAGGGTGCGCACCGGGCTTGAAGGGAAGCCATCTGTGCCAGGCGGGACCCCCGCAAACCTCAATTGCTTTCAGTACACAGGTAGCCCTGCAGGAAAGAAGACAGGTGCCTTTGGTTGATCTTGAAGATGACTGCTACTTGCTCGCTGGCTGTGCCTGCCTTGCACCATTCTCGCAGTTCTCGGCAACTTTGATTTGGCATGCCCCGATATGCTTTTTCCGTTCAGTCTCGGATCGAAATACCTGAAAATATATCGTTTGAACATAAAAAATAGGCTCGTGTTAAAATGCGCTTGGTGGGCTCTCGTCGTGGGTGTCATGAGTAAGCTCAAGGATGTCGCGCTCACCCTGCATTTTCTGCCGTCAATTATTTTTGTTTCACGGATGGGTGGTAAGGGCGGATTGTGAAAGATTACTCCTAGCTCTTTTAGTTGCTGATCAGAGACTATCGGCGATTGGCTGTCCATACTTAATTCAGGCACTACCCATCGGCCGCTTTCAAATAACCCCAAACAAATAATCGGAGTTTTTTATCCGTTTTCCACTGCATTCAGTGACACAGTATCATCGAACGTCGAACCCATCGAACTATGACTTTTCAACCCAGACAAAACAGTTAGTACGGAGAACTGCCACATTTCTTAACTCTTTGAATCTTAACCCCATAAACCCTAGACTTTTTGAACCGAATCTTGCTTCAGGTTCCGCAATACCTTCTAGAAGATGCCATTTGTTCTGATGCTGGCGGCCGCACCCACGTGGTGGTGACTCAGCCGCGGCGCATCGCCGCAATTAGCGTAGCTGAGCGCGTGGCTGAGGAGCGGGGCGAGCCTCCCCCCGGCAGCCCCGGCCCCGCCTCCACCACCGGCTACCACGTGCGACTGGGGGCGGCAGTGACCCGCCACACGCGGCTCACGTTCTGTACCACAGGTTGGCGGTGGCAGCGGGCGGGTGGGAGCTGTGGGGGGAGGGGGATGGAAATGGAAGTGGGGGTGAAAGCGGGGGTGGAAATAATGGGGATGGGGTTGGCAAGATATGACGAATGCAGTTCGGGCTATGCAGGGGTGTGTTAGGGCTATTGCGATGTGGTTTTCTGGGGATATGGGTATTTGGGAACGAGACATTTGGGGACGTGGTAGGCAGGTAGACAGGTAGGCGGCTAGGTGTGCAGGCAGGTTGACAGGGCCTTGCCGTGCTCCTCCCTCCCCCGCTCCCCCCGCTTTTCCCCCGCCCTTCCCCCCCCCCACCCCCACACACCCCCACACATACCCCCCCCCACACACACCCCACACACAGGCATCCTCCTCCGCCGGCTGGCCGGTGACCCCTCCCTTCACGGGGTGACCCACGTGGTGGTGGATGAGGTGCACGAGAGGTCCCTGCAGTCCGACTTCCTCATAGCGCTGCTGAGAGACCTGCTGGCGGCGAGGAGGGCCCAGCAGCAGCAGCAGCAGCAGCCGGAGGGGACGGAAGGGGCGGATTCACCTCTTCCTCCTCCTCCTCCTGCTCCGGCTCTTAAGGTGGTGCTCATGAGCGCCACTCTGGACGCCAAGCTGTTCGCCAACTACTTCGGAGGATGTCCGGGTACGTGGGCTGCGCGGGGGAAGGGGGGTGTGGGGGAGGGGGGACGGGGTGTGTGGGAGAGGGGGAAAGGGGGGTGTGGGGGAGGGGGAAAGGTTGTGGGGGAGGGGGAAAGGGGGGTGTGGGGGAAGGGGAAGGGGTGTGTGGGGGAGGGGGAAGGGGTGTGTGGGGGGGGAGGGGAAAGGGGGTCTCCATGTGGTTGGTAGACGGGGATGGTGGTTGTAGCTGAACATCAAACCCTGTCATATGTTATCCTCTCCGGGGGCGTCCTCCGGAGGAAATCCGACCCCGTCGATGTCCGATGACCCCCCTTTCTCCCCCTTTTCTTCATGCCCCTTGGGGCCGCCGGCCTCATCCCCAGTCTTACACGCCGCCGGTCGCACTTTCCCCGTCAGCCGACTGTTCTTAGAGGACGTGTACGAGGCAACCGAGTACCGACTGGCTTCAGATGCGCCTGCAGCGCTGAGGCGACGTGGCCCGGGTGCGGCCCAGGTGTACGCGCAGCGTCTGGGGGGAGGAAGCAGGTGGGGGGGGCTGGGGGGGCCGGCGGGGCTGGTGCGGTGGAAAGGAAAGTGAACATTTCAGCGACATTTGGCGGTCAGTACGCGAAACGAGTATTGTGTACTTGGAGGAAGCTGAGCCATGTTGTTGTGGAAAAATAAAAGTGTGTTTGTCTAGGGCAGACGCGTGCGTACGTGTGTGTTTTCCGTATACTATATAGTACTACTTCCCCGCTGCTCTTCCCGGGTCCGAGTCGGCGAGTGATTTACCCGTGAACATCAATCACATCTCTTACCCCTTGCGCTCTTTGCCTCTTTCCTCTCACCCCCCCCAACACACGTCCTTTTTCTGACTTTTATAAGACTTTCCTTTCGTCTCGGCGCCTAGGTAGCTTTTCCGCATTTTTCGCCTTCTGCCTTCTTTGGACTTTGGACTTGCCAGCTAGCAAGTAACTCGTCTCGCAACCCCAGCGGGCCCAACGTCGCCGCCAAGATTATTGTTCAAGCCATCATTCGTCAGTAAATATTCCTGGTGCAGCAGTTATCTTCTCCTGGGCTATCGTCTATCCCTGGCCTATCTGCTTCATTGCCAGTGGTCCGACTTTATCTTCCCCCCCCCCATACACACACATACACATCCCACCCTCGTAGGGGCCAGAGGGATCTAGTGGCGCGTGGTTTCGGAGACGACGAGGCGCTCTCCGCTCCCCTCAACCCCGAGTACGACCCGGAGCTGTATGTCGACCGCCCGCTACATGTACGACGCAACCTGGCTCGGCTGGACGAACATCGCATTGACTACGACCTGTTGGAAGCTCTTTTGTCGTACATCGACGCCACGACGGAGCCCGGGGCGGTGCTGGTGTTCCTCCCTGGTACTGCTAGTGTGCTGTTGCGACTGCTGTTGCAGCTGCTGATATAAGTCTGCTGCTGTTGCTACTGTACGGTTTGTGGGTGTTTGGGTGTTTGTGGGTCTGCGGTGAAAAGACCACGGATTCCGGAACATTTAGATTTTTTTGGGGTGTGTGTGTTTGTGTGTGTGTGTGTGTGCGTGGGGGGTGCGGTTTGTGGGTGCGGTTTGTGGGTGCGGTTTGTGGGTGCGGTTTGTGGGTGCGGTTTGTGGGTGCGGTTTGTGGGTGCGGTTTGTGGGTGCGGTTTGTGGGTGTTGCTTTGGCTTCCCCCCTCCGCGCACTCACTCGCTTCATGGCGATGGTGATGCAGGCATTGGCGAGATTAACCACCTGTACGACCGTCTAACGGCGCAGCGGGCGTACTCGGGACTCCGCGGCGGAGGCGGAGGCGCCGCCGTGTACGGCGGCGCCCGCTGCGTGGTTTTACCTCTGCACAGTGCCGTCCCCCCTGCGGGCCAGCGTGCGGCTCTGCGGCCCCCGCCCCCCGGGCTGCGCAAGGTGGTTTTGGCCACCAACATCGCGGAGACGTCTCTGACGATCGAGGATGTGGTGGCGGTGGTGGACACGGGAAAACACAAGGAAAGGAGGTGCGGGGACGTGTCTGTGTGTGTGTGTCTGTGTATGTCTGTCTGTGTCTGTGTTTATGTCTGTATGTCTTTTGGCGGCCCCATCACGTGTGACCATCAGACGGCAGATGAAGATGTTGGCCAGGTAGCCACAACAGACGGGCAGCAAACAGAGGGCCACTCTTCCTCTTCCTCTTCCTCCTTTCCTCTTCCTCTTTTCCTCTTCCTCTTCCTCTTCCGGGGTATTTAGGAAGGAAGGAGAAACACACAGCGGTCCAATAGCCCCGAGCACTAGGTGGCTCCCAAAGTAGGTGGCGACCGAATCCCACCTCTATGCCGTACAGGTTTAACCCCGCCCGCTCCATGTCCATGCTGGTGGAGGATTGGGTTAGTGCTGCCAGTGCACAACAGAGGGCGGGACGAGCGGGACGTGTACGACCCGGTGTGTCGTACGCGACGTACACTCGAGCGCGCTTTGAGGGGGGTCTACGGCGGTACGGCGCCCCCGAGATCACCCGGGTGCCCCTGGAGGAGCTTGTACTGCAGGTGCGTGTTGGGGCCGGTCCATGGACACGATCCAATCGCCCCTCCCCCTCGTCCCCCTTCCCTTCCCCATGCCCTGGCGCACTCCCGGCTTTTCATTTTCGACTTCCCATTCTGCCCTTTCATCTCCCCCTCTCCTTTCCCTTCCCCCTCCCCCTCCCCCTCCCAACCACCCTCCCCCCCACCCACCCCCTCCCCCTCCCCCTCCCCCTTCCCTTCCTCAGATCCTGCTCATGGGTTTGGGTCCCGTCTCGGACTTCCTGTCCCGAGTCCTGGAGCCCCCCCAGCCCCGGGCTGTGGCTGCGGCCCTGGAGGTGCTCAGACAAGTAGGAGCCCTGGAACCACCATCCAGCACCACCACCACCACCACCACCACCACCACCACCATCCCAACATCAACCTCAACATCAACACAGGCTCTATCACAGGCTTCAACACAACCGCAGCAGCAGCAGCAGCAGCGGCAAGAACAGCAGCAGCAGCCAGGCGCCCCTCCTCCTGCTTTTTCATCTGCTGCTACTGCGGCCCCCTCGTCCTCCTCCTCCTCCTCCTGTCCGGAGGTTCTCAGTCCGTTGGGTCGCCAGTTGGCTCTGCTGCCTGTGGGCCCCCGGCTGGGGAAGCTGCTGGTGCTGGGGGCGCTGCTGGGCTGCCTGGCACCCGCTGTCACCATCGCGGCGGCCATGAGCCACAAGTGGGTTTTTGTGAGGAGGGGGCTGAGGAGGAGGGTGAGGACTGTTTTGCGTGTATGTATGTATGTACGTGCGTGTGCGTGTCTATGGTGGTGTGTTTTGTCTGTATAGTCTGTATAGGTCGGAGTTGCTGCCGTGCACACTACGAGGCGTGAAAGGGGGGGTGATGGCATGGCCCAGCTGGCCTCGCTACCCTTCCTCGACTACATGGGGGATCCCCCCGGGGCAACATCGCCGTGTCAGACACTCCTTCCCCTGTGTCATGTACTGAGTATGTATGTGTGTATGTGTCGGAGCGCAGGTCTCCCTTCCTGACCCCCGCAGACGATCGCGGGGAGGCGGAGCGGGCCCGGCGGGCCCTGGCGGCCCCCGGCTCTGAGGGCATTGCCGCGGGGCAGCAGTCGGATCATCTGCTGCTGGTGGCGGCGTATGAGCTGTGGCGGGTGGGCGGAGGGGGTGAAGGGGAGGAGGGAGGGAGAGGAAGAAGGAGGGAGGGTGCCTGTATAGGCCTTTCAGTTGTCCTGACTGGGTTGATTAGGTGATGATATGTATGTGTGTGTATGTGAGAGAGACTCTTTCTCTCTCTCTCTGACACACATACACACATACACATAGGCTGCAGACACACGCCACGGCATTTGTTTGCGTCTTCTCCTGTACACCGTACAGCGCTGCTGTTTGTACTGCGACCCAGTGGGTACTTATTGAAGACGTGAATGTGAAGGTGGCGCCTGGAGAACGCCCCCATACGCAAATATACCCCCCCCGGCTCCACGTTATGATACCCCCATTCGCCCCCTCCCCCAACTGCCCCCCAACACAACCCCCCTCCTGTACGCCCCGGGGTGCCCCCTCCAGGTGGCTGCCTCCCCTAAGTACGGCGGAGGCACAAGACTTGCCGCCCAAGTGGCCCGTCGCCACTTCCTGCACGTCCAAACCCTGGAGCAGCTGTCTGAGATGCGGTGCCAGTTGGCGGCCATGTTGGCGGATGCCAGGCTGGTGCAGCCGGGTGGGGAGCGAAGTGGAGGAAGAGGAGGAGCGTATGGGGACGGCGATGGTGGCGGCGGCGGATTTGGCGGTGGCGGCAAGGCGGCCATGGCGGCAGCAGCGGCGTGGCTGGACGATCCGACTGCCCCTTGGAACAAGTTCGCCAGGGACCCCCTAGTGGTGAGTTGTCAGTTGGTGGTTGGCGGGTGGGCTAGCGGTAGCAAGGACACACGGAAGCAATAGCGGGAAGGCAACATGTGTTACCATCGGAACTGTTGATGATGATGATGAGAGGGGGTAATTGCGCCGCCGGCCCGCCCGCGCGGATCCTACCCGCACCACCCGGGAAGCCGTTATCCGGCTTTGGACGACGGCGGTAGGAGGTGCTTTGATGAACGTGGACAGATGCAGCTTGTTTTGAGTTGTGCGCGATCTACTGCCCCCCCTCCGTCCCTCTTCCCTCCCTCTCCTTACACCTCCCCCGCCAGGTGAAGGCGGCTCTGTGCGCGGCGCTGAGTCCCGCCGTGGCCGTTATGGGGGAGGACTCCAGCCCCACCAGCCCACCCCGCTGGACGGATGCCGCCCCTGGAGCTGGCGCTGGGGAGGAGGTGTTCGTACACCCCAGCAGTGTGGTGGCAGCCCTCAACACGCCCCAGCTGCACCACCCCTACCTGGTCTACTTGGAGAAGGTGCGGGGGAGGGCGCCACGGTGTATGTATACACGCACATGCGTGGCGCGTGTGTGTGTGTGTATAATTTGAGGCGCGATACGGGAACAGGTGTGTGTGTATGTGTATATGTGTGTTCGTGTGCTTTGTGGTGGTCACGCAGTGGCCACAGCCTCCTTCTGACCGGTTCGCAGCTCCAACTTGATGTGTTGTCCCTTAGATCAGTTCCTCTGCAACCAACTTGGTGCTTACACACATGCATTCCCTTCCACATTCTTTCATTGTGCCGCCCTCCCTCCTGGTGTGGACCCCTCCCTCCTGGTGTGGCCCCCGCCGAAACCCGTCTCCCGCAGGTCAAGACCGCTCGGTTGTTCCTCCGCGACGTGACCTCCGTGTCCCCTCTATGTCTGATGCTGTTCGGGGGCCCCCTGACGGTGCTGCACGCCGAGGGGGCGGTGCTCGTGGGCGCTGGGCCCGGCTCTGGAGCAGCCATGGCGGCGGCGGCGGCGGCGGCTGCTGGAAACGGGGTATTGCGTATTTCCTGCCGCGCGCAAACCGCCGTGCTGGTGAAGCAGCTGCGTGGTGCGCTGAACCGGTTGCTAGAGCGGCGGTATACGGGGGGAGGTGGAGGAGGTGGAGGCGGGGTGCAGGTGGCAGAGTCGGTGGTGGGGATTGTACGGCAGATGCTTCGGGAGGAGGATGAGCAACGGTCCATTGCGGCAAGGTTGTTGTGAGGGTGAGGGGTGTTGTTGCGGTGGTAATGGCGCATGGAGGAGGATGCTGGTGTGGTGTATGTGTGCGCGCGTGGGGGCCCGGTCAGGTTGGCGACAACATGGTCAGGTCTAGGCGGCCCGCATAGCAGCTGTAGCCCAGGTTTGTTGGGAGGCATGCTGGTTGCTGGGAGGTGAGGCGGACTCGAAGACGCTCAAGTTTTTACCCGCGTAAGGAGAAAGAGTCTACAGCTTGCTCAAATTAACCATGCTGCAGCCCCCGGACAGCAGCAGCAGTCCCCGGACTTCTGGAGTTCCGGTTCTTTGCGGCGGATGGAACACCAACACCAACGTTAGGAAAACACACTCGCACACATGTGAAATTGCGGTGCCCGAATGGTGGCGCAGTGCGATCATACACAGCAGGGGGCCGGCGGGCACGCAAGCAGCAGCAGCTGCCGCTTCTTCGGCGCACCGAGGGAAGCCGTTGCCTGGCCCCTGCACGAACAGTGAGGGAAGCTATTGTACCATGATTGACACTACCAACTGGATATGTCTTTGGCCCCCGGCCCCCGAGCTTCATGCCGTTGACCGTGGCTCCCCATTGTTTGACATATTGCCAAACACCTTTGCCCAAGACCTTGAGCAAACTGCCAGGCGCCTGCAAGGGCCATACCTGGCTCGGGCGTTCCAGTCCTGCCCTTCGTATTTAAGCAACCGTAGAAGCCAATGTGGGACGGGTCTTGTCTTCCTAGTGCTCCTCTTCCTTAAAACCCCAAGGTTCCCTAATTCTGTGCTTGTGTTCCCTCAGAAGGAAAGACATTCAGCAGCCCCGCCTTCAACACAATCGCCTTTTGCCGGATTCCTCTCCAAAAGTTGTTAAAAGAATTGTGCGATAATGTGATGCACCTAGCTAGTTCCGCATTTCACAGGAACTAAGCATGTGCATAGCTCTTGCAGAGGTACAAACGAAGCACCTCGACACGGAGAACAAACAGCGTCTGTATGGAGTGTTGCATAATTTCAAATGCGTTGTGATGAACCACGTCTGTACAAACGGCACATACAGGCGAACCCATCGGGCCTTATTCCGGAGCCGCTGGTGGCCAGTGGATGCACATGGAACCCGCCCGCTTCAAGAGACATTTTCTTTGAGCATACCGCACTTAGGCGGCACTTTTACGACCTGCGACATCTAGTTGCCGCTCGTATTGTGGCGGCTTGTCGCGCAGTCAGCCAAGGTGCGGACTCCCCGTTCCCGCTCCATAGTTAGATTCCTGCGTCAAATCAATCATATCTTGTAAGGCAATTAACGTATTGTGTACCTTTTGGAACAATTGCATCTGCTGGTAGGCGCCTGAATTGTGGTCCTTTTTTGCTCGGGTGCAGTTCGCAGGCATGTCGCTCAGCATGAGGAGCACGCTTGCAGGCCAGTCTTTGGCCTTTAAGCCAGCGACTGTTCAGAGCCGCGTTGCGCGTGTGCTTACCGTGGACGCCAAGAAGGTCTGCGACCTGACGGGCAAGAAGCGCAACAAGGCTAACTCGGTCTGTTTCTCGAACAAGAAGAGCAGGAAGTGGCAAGAGCCCAACCTGCAGAACAAGAAGGTCTTCTGGGAGGAGGGCCAACGCTGGGTTAAGTTGCGCATCTGCACCAAGGCCATTAAGACGCTGGAGAAGAAGGGCATTGCTGAGATGGCGAAGGAGGTGGGGATTGATCTATGGAAGGTGCCCTTCGAGGATGCTCGCCCACAGCGCAAGGCATACCTTGCGGAGAACAAGGGCAAGGTGCCGGTGGCGAAGAACCCCCGCCTTATTAAGAACCCGGAGAAGTTGGCTGCCTCCAAGAAGCAGCCCAGGTATCCGGTGTACGAGGAGGGTGGCCGCATCGTTTACATCCGTCCAGGCATGGAGGTACGCGGGGAATGAGGGATGGGGGGCTAGGGTCGCCGTCGTGTTCAGACACGACCGCAAGCTCTTGGGTTTTAGCATTATCGCGGAAGGTTCCCCATACTTATCGTATGCCGTCCTAGGGCGAAACGTTCTGACATGTCTGGCTCTTGTGGTTCAGGACTTGATCTTCGGCAAGAAGGACGAGCAGCAGGCAGCGCCAGAGGACCTTGAGCTTAAGATTACTCTTACGGAGTAAGCGAAGTGCAAGGCGGCAGCTTTCCGGGGACTCTTGCGTTGCAAGCCTCGGAGCTTGCGATCAGCGATGGCATGGCGATGGATCGGATTGCCGTGCTTGTGGCTCTTTCTCTGCTCTGGCTGCTGGGCGTGTATCAGCGCCTGATTTAGTACCACTGACGGAGAGGGTTGGATGGCGTGGAGCGGCATGCTGCTGTGGAACGTAGCAGTCGAAGCTGTTCATAAAGCGCGTGTCTCGGTGACTGGCTGTGCTGGCCTGCGTGGCTTGGCCAACCTGGAAGCCTGGACAAGGTTGGAATCTTCGCATGCTGCATGTTGGCTGCTGTGGTTACTTTGGTTTGGTGACGGGTTGCTGGGACCAGGGTGTTCGCGAAGTGCAGTTTTCCTGGTCCACATCCGAATGTCTGAACCTGGGCGGTTCAAGGACGGACTGGTGCCTGCATTGCGAGATAGCCTTGTGTCTTTTGACAGATGTGCCGTGTCGGTCTGTATACGTAGCCAGTGACACGCCTTAACGCTTGCTGGGCCTCGCCCACTTGCCGCCATGACGTATGAACTCAACTGGCAGGCTGACCATGCTTGGGGTCGCAGCGGATAATTTGGTTGTGTGTAACGTCCAATGTGCACATGGATGCAGCAAAGTGACCACGCGGGACATGCACACGCAGTTTACTGTGCGGCGCTGGTGTTGCAGGGAGGGACTATTGAGGCGAGTCGTTTGCTTGTTACATGCAAGAAATACCGGACGGATGATTGGGAACACGGGAGCCTTTTGAGGGCGGTGGGCCTTGCAGCGGCGTTGGTTTCCCTCCGTCTGGGAGTTTTCGTTACCACCCTCGGTACTTCTTCATGTAACGGTAGATGATTGGCGGCAAGCCCTTGTTGCTTCGAATGTTCCACTGCAGCAAGCGGAAAAGGGTGTAGATGCTTGGTTAGGAATCTTGTTGAGTCTTGTCGGCATAGTTATGCCTGTTGAGACGTGTCCTCCAGAGGACTACATAGTTCCAGCGCTGCTATGAAGCTGATAATGTGCAGCGCTTGTAGAGGCAAGACAAGTTTCGCAAATGGAAGAAATTACTGATACAGAGGATGGCAGCTTCAAGAAGGCAATCAAGGCGCCCTTAATCCTAGGAAGCATACGGCTGAACGAAACTCCTGCACGGCAGGCTCGCAGCGACAAACACGCGAGTGGACTTACCCAGACCAGGATGATAATAAACAGGATCAGACTATTGCTAACGAGCCAGATGAAGGCCATGCCAAATGCACCGAATATGTAGTACATTCCACCATAGGCGGGTAGTGCAAACGATCTGGGTGCCGCCACGTCGAGCACATTTACAGTCACCACCTGAGCGACACAGAGTTTGGGGGTAAACAATTAGCGGCGTGCGCTTTACCACGGAGACAGTTTCGCCGCCATTCCAAAACAGCAATTGTATAACCCTCCTTACCGCCACCTCACAATCACCCCCCACACCAAGTTTTGTGACAGGAGGTCGCAGAGTCCCTCTTCAACCGCGAAGGGACCGGATGGGGGACACTACTTCTCCGTTTTCTATGTTTTCTGGGGCACGACGTATGGAAAGAGGCCACGACGTATGGAAAGAGGCAACCACGAAGTACACGAACGAGTAAAATGGCTGATGAACAGGCCATTGCCAGAAGGCGTGGTATTGGAGTTCAAGGACCGATTGGTGAGTGGTTGGAAGAATACGCGTCTTGATGTCCAGCCAGACGTGTACCCGTCAGACGGCAAGCAACGGGAATTCACATGGCGAAGTATAAGCATTGGACGGGTCTGGCGGCCGAGCACGCGGCAGGAAGGAGGTGCTCCCGCATACCAAAATGTTTATTGCAAGCTTATGCAGATTAGGCTTTGCTGTTTGGCATTGGCGGCTAACAGAGCGCGCAATTGACGGCGTTGTATACCTAAAGAGGAGCGAGTATGCCCCCTGCTGCGGCACTGATAGCCATATCGAGGATGAGAAGCACATTTTGCTGGATTGCCGGGTGTACGACAAAATCAGATCTGATATGGATTTCCCACGCTTTGAGCATATGAAGGACGCTATGAAGTGGGAACCTGAACGCCTGGCAAGGATGCTGGAACGTATATGGTCCCACCGCAACTCTATCGTTCCCTTTGGTCGTTAGTATCCTTTATGACTTTTGCTTTACATGAAATGCAAGGTAGGCGATCTGGCAGCCCTCGAGCCCTCGGCTCGTATTTGGACGGTTTGCAGGTGCGGGAAATGCACCCACGACCATGTAACACACACATAGCAAACAATCACTCCAACTCACCTGGTTCACGATGGGTCGGAAGGACGTACCAGCCTGGAGGTCCGCCAGCGAGCCCGTCCAGTGGGCCGTGTAAGTGAGGTTGAGGTCGTTTGGATCGGGACTGAACTGCCAACCGCCACAAGGGCCCAGCAGAGGGACCTGACCGATGGCCACCTGCGGTCACAAAGCCCCCATAAGCACACAACCGATCCTTGGCATCACTGCCCACACAGCACGCACCCGTACTTCAACTGTATTCTGAGGCTTTCGAGAGCCACTGTGGGAGCCACTGTGGGAGCCATCCATCACCGTTTGGATTTGAAATGGGCCCACTCCACCCACTCACTCCAACCCACAGTTTTAATCACCCTCATTCATTAACCCCTCATTCGCCCATCCATCCACACGCACCTGCACACCGGACAAATAGCTGACGGTCACATCCGTAGAGGCGCCCAGCTCCAGGGTGGGTTCCGCAGCCGGGGTCACTCTCCAGGCGCCCAACAGCAGACTGCTACCCGCCACCGTCAGCGTAATGACCGTCTCGTCGGGATGGGCCAACGAGAACCTGGGGATAGTGATGTTGGCGGAGCCTGTGACCATCTCGCGCGAGCAAAAGAACAGACGGAGGCCGTGTGTTTAAGACCGAAGGACAGCAGGACGGAAAAAAGAAGGCAAGGGTGAAGGGCAAATGGAGGGTTCGCCGGGAAGGTTCAGAGATGCGGATGACAGAGCCGGTCACACGGCTACCCACCGGTGATGTAGTAGGCGGCGAAGGTACCGGTGTTCTCACAGCGCTTGTTCATGCCCGGCCAGGGCCACAGGTTGGACACCACTGTCCAGGGCGGCACAGCGCGCAGCTCCCGGTTCTCCTCCCTCAGTTTATCCAAGGACGCCACCACCTGCACCCCCGCCAGGTAGATGCCGCTGCTCAGCTGCGTACTGCAACCCGCAGTCATTCCCACCGTCACCAGGCAGCGCAGAAGCAGCAGTAGTCGTGGTGGTAACAGCAGTAGCAGCAACGCAAAACGGGGAGGAGGCCCCAGCACAGCAGAGAGGCGGCGGAACGGCGGGATTCGGGTGGGCGGATGGTGGTTGTGGGTGTAAGTACTTAGTAAGGAATCCAATCAAGTGACACAGCTACGCAGCGGAGTGGGGCCCTTCCGGGGCACACAAGCCAGCGACGCAAGCCACCAGCAACAATATCAACACCACCAGCAACATGGGAGCCGCAGCTTGGGTACATCTCACGCACGTAAGCAGCGTGCCTTCCTAACGAAGTCTACCCACCTACCTAGGCTGCACGTAGTCGGTGTTGTTGCTGTTCGCTGCAGCCGCCACTCGGTCCACAAATTCCTGAATCTGAGTCCCATTAATTCTGAAAGAGAGGGTGATGAGGAGGGAAAGGAGGGAGGGAGAGAGAGAGATGATGATGTTGCTTCTCGGCGCAGCCAGCCAGCCACCGTCCGTTATCCTGGCCCCACTGCTGCGGGGGCAGCCCCATCCAAACTTACTCAAAGGGGCTGTTTATTACTAATGTGTCGTACGGGTTGCCTTCGTCCTGGTAGGCCACCAGCGAGATGGGTCTTCCCGCGGGTACTGCCATGGCACCAACCCGCACGCGGCCGGCACGCAGGCAGTTGATGTACGGCGTACCGGGGATTAGCGCCATACCCACAGCGTCGTACAGAGCTTGCCGTGTCTACAACGCGAACGGGGATTAGACGGCAGTTCAGATCGGCTCAATCCAACATCCATTGACACACTTAGGGAGCAACCTGCGAATTGCTCCAAGCTTCCTCGCCCTCATCGCAATCGGCTTGGCTGACCCTCCTGCCGCACATCCACCTACCGAGTTACATGCCGCCGTACGGATATCCGTACATTCAATCATGATGACCGGCTTGCAGACCGGCAGGATGCCACTCCAGGGAGGGAACCCGACAGGTTCCGAGTACGGGAAGAGCGCTGTCTGGCCGGAGAAGTAGACGGGGTCGGGATTGGAGCATTGCTCCGCCAGAAGGAAGCTCTTGTGGTATTCACTGCGGCACAGGTAGCGGTAGCGATTGGGGGACGCGGAGAGAAAGTGCAGTTGGGAGGTATAGTGGAGGGGTTAGCGGAAGCGATAGCGGCTATGGGGGGATGTGGGTCAGCCCGTAGGAGCCCCGAGGCTGGGGACCGGCTGAGGGCAGTCAGCTGCGGGGGCGAGGGCGGACTTCGTCCGGGTTAAGTTAGCGGTCCTTGCGTTAGGAGGGTACAGCCCTTGCATCCTTGCGTTTGCCTGCGTATTTTGTATTTTGGAGGTATCATGTCTGTGGTGGTGGGTGTTGTGTCAATCCCCGCGCGCGTGGTCAAGTTGCGTTCCTGGTGGACGACAATCAAAAGCACGGCGCTGTGGTGACGCACTTGTTAACGTCATTTGTGATTCGTTGGTCGAAGTACATGTCCCGGAAGTCCGTGTCGTGACGGTTGAGGACTTTGATCTGTGGCGGGGCCAGGTGACCCAGGGCACGGAGGCACAGATGTGTGCTGACGGTGCAGCTGCGTAGCGCTCCTAGTCCGAGGCTGGAAGGCTATTCCATATACCTCGTAGAAGACGAAAAGGCCACCAGTAACAACGGAGAGGACGATGACAAGAATCCATCCTATTAGGCGCAGAAAGCCCTCGAACCATGTCTTGACATCAAGTGGCCTATACTTGCGCCTCTGTTTCTTATGTGATTTGCTTTCCATATTAATGGCTTATGACATAGAAAAGAACACGTGGGGACTACACCAGCATTCTTTCAAGGAAACACAGCAGACGCAGAGTTTTGTCAGTTAAAGCCCCTTTACAGGTGTGTATTTAATAATAAGGAATGCAGTTTATAATCGTTACACTCCCGGCTATTAGTATTTCCTTATGGTCCATCGGCCACGAGAAAACTTCATCGGAAAAGCTTTGGATCCGGATCCACCTCTGTGCGCCCTTTGCTGAGAGCCATGCTTGCATCCACAACATGCTGACCTAGCCTAACATAGAGCTTTGCAGTCTTTAGGAATACATGCACGGCAGCCCCAGGAGCCTCCAAGCTGCATGCAACGAGACATCAAAGGCTACATCCGGCAGCGAAGCTCTAGGTTTGTACACAGTGTGCATGCTGTGCCAGGACTTGTTGTACCAGAATACCTGCGAAGGACTCTTTCTCCGTCCGTTCCCTGCAGGCAAGACTCCGTCAAAGAGGCGAAGAGCAGCAATGGGGCCAGCACCCTTATGCACCTGCTGGGCGATACCCACCCAAACGCAAGCGCCAATGTCCGCGTTTCATTATCATCACCATCGGTGGCAGCAGCTTCTGCTGCTCTTGCCGCGAAGCCCGAAAAAGCCGGCCATCGAGCTTGTACAGCATTCCCACGGGGCATCCCTGAAGCTGGTGGCGCAGGGACCGCCTCCGGCCCCCCCACCGGACTCTGTATCCATGACCAACCGTCCCAGACGCAGGTCAATACCTGTATTGCTAACAGCTCGCTGCCACCCACAAACCGCAAAAACCTAAACGCGGGACGCCCTTCATCGCTGCTATCCCTACTTCATGGCCCACACGCGAACGCAAAGCCCAACTTACCGATTTCAACCGCCGCAAAAGACTTACACCACCATCAGCGGCAGCAGCAGCAGCAGCACCCGAGCTCCCATCCTGGCCATAACGGCCTGCACCAGCAGTGTCAACCCCAAGGATGCTCAGGAACCCGCCTTAACCCGTTGAGCCAGGTGCTTCAGTGCGGGTTGGACCCGCGCTCGGCACTGCCGCAACCGCCGCAGTTCCATAAGCAAAATCATGACCAACAGCATCACTATCAGCGACAACAGCAGAAGCACAACGAACATCAGCTACGGTACAAGCCATACAGCCAGCAACACATCCCCCCTCCAGCTGCATCGGAGCTCCGGCAAGAGCCAGCTCATGTGTCGGGGTCCGCATTCCAGAGGCAGGGCGACGACGCTGCGGCTGCAGAGATTGGCGGTGCTTTGCTGGTGCTGGGGGACTCCCGCCGTCGCCACGCTGCTAAGAAGCGAGCTGCCTTCCGGGACAGGGAATGGGAGGGCGACCTGCAGCGGGTTGTCCGAGCCCGCAGCGGGTGCGAACGGGAACGGGGCCAGCGGTTCAACCATTGGGACGACGGCGGCGGCACATGGGTAAGGAACCGGGGGAGGGGCATACGTCTGGAGAGCAGAGCAGGGTAGAGCGGTAGGGCTGCATGACACGTGAGGGGAAGCTGGCTGTGTGATGCAGCCACGGAGGGCTACAAGTGGCTGTGCCAATCCGGCTGCACCCCAGCGCCTGAGAAGGCGCAGGATGCCATGCTGCTTGTGTTGATGACCTGGTGAGGATGCTGCTCTGACGAGAGTGCAGACCTGCATCTATGGGAACTGCGGACCTGCGGTGTCTGCCCGTCTGCCTTTCTCTTTCCGTCTGTCAGGACTGCGATACGCTTGGCATTGAGGGCGCCGACGACTGCGACCTACGGTGGGAGGGTGTTGGCAGCACCGCAGTGGGCCCGCGCTTGTAGGCCCCCCTCGCCCAACATCCGTGCAATCCCCTTCCGAGGGCGTAGGGTGGAGCCTCCCAGGAGAGCCTCCCAGGAGAGCCTCCCAAACCCCGATGGCCGCATCGCCTTCCTGGGCCCCGTTCCTTTCCCTCGCTGGCGACATTGCCTCCACGTCTTTGAGAAGACACACCCGGAGTAAGACAGGGACACAGCTCGGACACGAACGAGGCCCTGGATGAGGGAAGCCAAGGGGGAAAGCTTTATTACCGGGGTGTACCACAGGTTCGGTGGGCTGTCCAGGATGGTAGGAAACGATGGATTGGATTTGACCCTATGGACATCAGGGGGATGGAAAGGCGGGTGAGTTGTCGTGCGGAGCACGAGCAATCCTGGAGGTAATGCTCGGCAACGACATGTGAAGTCGGTTACCTTGCGCAACGAGATGGATGCGGCAGGGGAAGGAAAGGCGGTGGCGTCCAGGGGCCTGGTGTGCCGGGGGGAGAGGAGGAGGTCTTAGGGCTTTACCCTAAGAAGCTGCAAGTCAACAGCTGTGTGCATTCGCATTTTTCCTGGGCCAGGCGGTGCTTTGGCTAGGTGGTTTAGGTAGAGAACGGACCGTCAGCCCAACCCTGGTTGGCGTGAACTGGGCTGTGATGCGTTTTCAAAGCGCTGAGTGCAACGGGCGCCTTGTGCTGGTAAGCAATCATGTATCATGTACGATATGTAAACCAAGGTCACGTGGCCTCCCCTTCCAACGTATGCGCGTGGAGATCTGGCGCCAAGTCCCTGCATAAGAGTACATGCATCAACGTGAGATGGACTGAGGAGTGACGTAACAATCAGTCGTCCCTTCGCGCAATTACAGATGCCTTCTTGGATCCTAGGCTCACGATTTTAATTCCGCCTTCGCCCTATGGCCACAGTTACGGGTAGCTCCAGACCCCGGGGAACTGGTCACTCCACACCTCCATCAATTTGAAAGTAATGGTCATGTGATCACCACCACGAAACACACACGCCCGCCACCACCATCTCCCCACTTAAATGTCCCCCGCCAGCTCCGCCAGCTCCAGCCACCGCTCCGACTTGACATCCACCGTCTCTTGAATGGCCGCCATCTCCCTGCTGGCTGCCTCCAGCGCAGCCAGGTCGCTGCCGCTCTGAGCCAGCTCCATCACTCGGTCGTTCAGGGCGTCGCGCTTGGCGTTGAGCTCGTCGATCTCCCGGGTCAGCTTCTACAAGGAGGGAGGGAGGCAGGCAAACAGACGGGTGTGATAAGAAACGAAAAGTACCGTTCAAGACTCAGACTCAATGACCCAGATGGACCAAGGCCGAGGGAAGGAGGGAGGGAGGGCGGGAAGGAGGGAAGTGGTATACAGAGAACAGGAAACAGGATGAAACATAGGGCCCTCCTGTGCATCCCGCCCCTCCTAACGGAGCCTCACCGTAGCACTCCCATCACCAACGTACGTACGCACTTTTCCCACCTGGTATTCCTGTTGCTCGTAATATCCTAGCTTCCGGGGTTTCTTTGATGGCGCGGTCGGACCGGATGACGCCTTAGCCTCCGCCTGCTGCTGCTTCTGTTGCTGCTGCTTTCCCATGCCACCCTTGCCTTTGCCACCTCTACTGCTGCTGGTGCTGCCCTCTTCCCCGTCGGAATCCCAGCTGCTGCCGCTGCTAGCTGCACTGCCAGACGCTATTCGCTGCTCCAAAGCCGCCGCTGCCGCCTCAGCGGCCGCCTGCTCGTCCATCAGCTCCAGGTACTGCAGGTCACACACATAAAACACATGCACATATGATCTGGTGAATTGTCCAGTACGACGTCTGCTGCTACTACGGTACAGGGTCGCTATGCCGCCGCCGCCGCCGCCACCACTACGAAGGTCCCCCCCACGTCTTGCCCTTCCCTCACGCCTTCCAACCGCACGCTACTCCAGCACAAACCATGACGGACCCTTCTTCCCCCCGGGTGCTTGGGGGCACCCCGTTCACCCCGCAGGCCGCACAACTCCCTACCCCCTCCCCTCGCTCATGGGCCCTCACCTCCGAATAGCTCCCGTCGAACATCCTGACCAGCCCATCCCCCTGCAGCACCATGAGCCGCTCCGCCACGTTGTCCATGAAGGCCCGGTCGTGGGACACGGTCAACAGCACCCCCCGGAAGGCCCGGACCTGCTCCTCGAGCACCTCCACTGTGGACAGGTCCAGGTCATTGGTGGGCTCTAGCGGGGCGGGGCAGGGCAGGGTGGCAGGTTGCAGGGCAGGGCAGCGCACGGGACAGGACAAGACGGGGCAGGGGAGAAAGACGCGGATGAGAGGAAGAAAAATGTACCTCATACGGTAACATGGAACGTGCATGCACACATGTATCACCACCCGGAAGAGCGCCTCTCAATCCTCTGCCCCCATACAGAACCCACAGGGCCCTCATCCACCCCCGCATTCCACTCATGCCCGCACCCAGCCTGCCCAAAGCCACACACGCACCCCGCCTCCCCCGGCCGCCCTCGCCCCTCCCCCCTCCCCACCGTCCAGTATGAGTACGTTGGGTCTTTCCACCAGCACCGAGGCCAGGTGCAGCCGCCTGCGCTCCCCCCCGCTGAGGGAAGAGACCTTTTGGAACTGCCGAGGGCGGGGGAATCCCAACTACGGAGGTCGTGGGGAGGAGGAAAAGCAGGGGGCAGAGGCGGAAAGGGGTGAAAGACGAACCACGAACGAGTTAAGCTGCTGCTGGAAGGGGGTCGGGAGGGGGAAAAGGCCTTAAGGGGTTCTGGGGATCACAGAGCTGCCAGGTGGTGGTGGTGGTTACCGCATACGAGGAGAAGAACGCAACGTCGTCACAGCCAGCCAACCTGGTAAGATGTGGAGGACTCCAGATGTGGAGAGGGAGGAGGGGGTTTTCATGAACCACGTGGACAAAACCGAGGAAAGGGGCGACTACCTACCCACCCCCGCCCGGCCCACTCTGTCGACACACCCACCTACGGATCCAAACAGCATCCAATACCCCCCTGACCCCCTTTTACCTTTTCCAGGAGCACCTCTGGCGAGTCCATGGGCTCAATGGCACCCCCAGCAGCCGCCAACTTGGCTTTACGGCTGTCAGCAATTTCTCGAATGTAGTCTGGGGTGCGTGTGGGTGGGGTGGTGGGACGGCGGAGCATAGACGATTGGGGCGGTGTGGTGTAGGGGTATGTTGTATGTAGGGGTACCACAGTGTGTGCATTTGTACGTATATGTTTGGGTGGAGGGAGGAAGAGCGGGGGGAGGAAGAGCCAGCCCCTTACCCTTTCACCGGACCCAACACTTGAAGAAACCCCCACCCCCCGACTCAACCCACATCAACCCCATAGAACCTTATGCCCTCCATACCGACCCCCCCAACCCCCTAGCCCCACCCACCAATGATCCTCAGGTCATCCCGTATGGCGGGGGGGTACTGGGTCAAGTAGCCAACAACGGAGGTCTCCCCCACGTCCAGCTTGCCGCTGGTGGGCTGCTTGCGGCCTGGGGGGGGTTGGGGGGATTTGCAGGTGAGGCAGATGGATGTGTGTTTCAAGGGAGTGTGTCTATGTATTGGGAGGCGGGGAGACGTGAGAGAGGATAGGACTAGCTCAAGTCCGGGTACGGTTCCCCACTCCCCCATCTCCCACATAGCCGGGGCCCCTTGCACACCTCACCCGCAATGAGGTCCAGCAAGGTGGTCTTGCCCGCACCGTTGCGGCCTGGTAGGGTGTGTGTGTGTATAGGGGGGTAAACAGGGGGGAAGGGAGGGAGGGGGTGGGTGGGCATCAGAGGATGATGATATGGATGCGCAGGATGAGCAATGTCGACGGGTTGGTTGTGTAAGGGAGGGAGGGCGGTGTTTGCGTGTGTGTGTGTGTGGAGGTATGTATCCTTGGAATGAGGAGAGGTTGCTTTTTGGGGGCCGGCTCCGTCTCTGTGCGAGCGGTAGGCGCGTGGAGTGATACCAATGACTCTGGCGTTCTGGCGTTTGTTTTAAAAAGTTGCTTCAATTAGTTTAGTTCATCGCCGTCACCATCACCACCCACCATTGCACCTACCATCTCACCCCGCCCTGGTCCCCCCCGACCCCGGACCCACCTGCAATGCCCAGCTTTGTCCCCGGCTGGAAGTCGAATGTGAAGTCCCGAATGATCGGTTGGTCGCTGCCTGGAAGCGAGTAGCCCAGACGCTCGCAACGGATAACCTTGTTGCCTGCAATGACAACCACCGCCACCGCCACCATCACCAGGATGATGATGATGTGATGATGTGACGATCACGAGCCCAACGAATTACGAGGGAGTGTCCTCCTCATGATGGGACCTCTGTGCACCGGGCGCTGGCAGTGCTTGCACGGGTTACAAATCACGACAACCCCCCGGATGCAGTGCATAATAACCAGCCGCAGCACCAGCAATACATACAGATACACACTGAGTGCTTCATCGGGCGCTGTTTCAGTGGGGGATATCCCCGTGGGTTCCGTATGATACAACACACACACAGACACAGACACAGACATACGCACAGAGACAACCGCACCCTGTCGGGCCATAGCCCCCGCGGCATTTCCGAAGTCCACTTTGAGGTCGGCTGTGGGCGCATCCTTGGCTCGCTCCGTGAGTTCGTAGAACCTCTGTTGGCGGGCGATGCTCTTGGCCTGGCGGGCTTTGGGCTGGCGGGCCATCCACTCCGCCTCCCGCCGGAACAGGGTGCGCGCGTCGGCGGCGGCGTTGGCCTGGGACTTGCGGCGGAACTCCCTCGCCTGTGTGTGTTGGGGTGGGGGAGGGGAAAGACGAACCACGAGCGAGTGAAGCTGCTGCCAAGGAAAGAGTGTACAAGAAGCAGAACTGACCAGCAGGCGTTCTGAAAGGGGGGGGAAATGCGAGGGAAGGGAGGGGATGGTAGTGGTGATCGTGAGCGTCGGTCGTAATTGCGACGGGTCGTGGGGGGATGATTGGGCGCGCACGTGTGTATCGCAACACGCACAACCTCCTCGCCATGCACACACATACACACATAC